TAAGTAGCTTATAATTTTAATTATAATCCTCTGGGATAGCTTACTTTAGTGTTTATAATTTATTATAGGTAGCTTATAGTATAAGATATAATTCTCTCTTAATTAGTCTATTAGTCTATGGTATTTCCATAGGTGTATATCTTATAGTTATTGGGTTATAATACTTTGCTTTTTATTAAATTATAAGCAAAACTATATGTAAATTAATAGACCAGGAATACCTTATATTATTATCTAGTATACAGTTGATTATACTTAATTTAGTCTTCAATTCATATAAATTCAATATAAGTCCACTACTTAAAAACTGCTGCCTTATACCTTAGTATAAGACTTAATACAAACTATTACAATTCAACAAGCTTTCTCAAATCCTCCCGCTCATGAATCTCCTTCACCATGTCCCTAAACTCATCGTCATCGTATACATCAATCTGCTCCTGGAAGAAAGCTATATTATCCTTAAGCCAAGTGCCTTCGTCTCCAGCCTAATAATCCCATTAACCGTTAGCTATATAAGACATATCTTAATCATAAAAAGAGGCGTGAAAAACAAATAAAAAAATCCAACATACCCCTGGGATAACAACTCCGTTTTCAAGCGCGGCCACCATTGCATGGAAGACGACAAAGTGCAGTTTCTTAAAGCGTTTCTCTTCTTTTGTGGTAAGATTCCCAAGAGAGTGCGCGGCTAAAGCTGCGTCATCAACTACCTCATACCATTTTCTCTGAATTTTAACAGCAACTTCGTCAAACTGTTCCTTAGTTCGCGTCGGACCAACACGAACCAAAGCGATGATATGATTTGGAGAGGTTGGCTCACGAGGCTTTCCGGCCACGTAGAAATCACCTTTCGGCCCTGGTTGTGTAAAGTGCACGTTGACGAACAACTTTGGGGTCCGAAATATAGTTGAGTGCACAAGCGTAATAAATTCAGCAAGGGAATCCTTTTGGTCCCGCGAGAGTGGAACAGAATGACAAACCTTGCGACAGATTCAGCTACAGCCTCACTAGGAAAGCCCAAGAGAGAAAGTTCTACGGACCTCATAAAGCGGCATCGTGCGTAAATATCGCCTTGCCCAGATAGTTAGGTTTTGCGAGTCTGAAAAGTGGCTCCTGGTAGTGGATTCAACAGTCTGATTGCGTTATATGTTTGGAAAGAATATATAGCAAAGAATTAAGGAGTTGGGAACATAGTTAGAAAGATTAGACCGAGATATTTATACGTTAACCACATATATTGCGTTTATTAATCTGAAGTAGTGACCAGGATCTAATTAATACAAATCAATGCAATCAATGCCAGCAAATATGTCGTGACTCTACAATAACAGATCAGCGCCACTAAGGTGGACACAAGCAGCAGCCGCAATTTGCGGGCATTGCAAGGGGGTTTTCCGCTTTTGTAATCGGACACTACATAGGATCCCTTAGGCCTGCGGCCGCATTACGGCTACAATCGAAAATGCGGCCGCAATTGCGGTACAATTCCGCAGGTATTTGTGCTACCCCAAGTCGCTCGTGGGAAAGCATCTTACAGATTACCTGCTCCGTCAAGTAATCTCAGCTATTTCCAACAGTTAACTATACTAATATCAGGCATTAGAGAGGTAAGCTTACTTAACCATGTGCAATTTTGAAAGCAGAACGGCGGTATCATATCATAGGACATCTAGTGTTGAAACTAGCAAAGACCAGGCGAAGCTACTAGACTACGATAAGGTTGGGCGATTAAACTCATCAAAATACCATAAAAGGGAACTTGCAGGTGGATGTCGTGTCTGCGAAGAACCACGCAGCCCTTCTCCGCGACTCCTCACGGAGGGAACAACTACGAGATCTTCAAGAGAGTGAAGTTGTTCACTATGCAGTCAGACAAGCCAATTGCTCAGAATCGATTGATTCAGGCTTTCGTTTACATCGAGCCACCAATACCAGTTCAAGTCCCTGGGCACATATCGACAGAAGATTTCGAATTCTCTCCCACATCATTCACACTAATCACTACTCCAAATGAAGCAGTGCTAGTCGATGCTCCGCCCCTTGTCCTCCAAGGGGAGCGACTTGCGAAATGGATAGCCGCTATCCTTTCAGGCAGAAAATTAAGCACCATTTATGTCACCCATGGTCATGGCGACCACTTCTTTTCTGCAGGACTTATCCAAAAGCGTTTTCCTGGGGCTCGCATCCGGGCAACTAAAGAAACATTCATCCACATGCAGGAGCACCTTTCCGACAAGATGTTTGACGGTATATGGACCGAGATTTTCAACGATCTAAAGCACAAAGGCCGCCCTAAACTCAAGGTAAATGTCTTACCATCAAGGGATAATACTTTCGTGGTGGAAGGTCATAGGTTTTGCGCAATTCCTGTTGCTGGTGGAGATACAGTAGCTTCTACAGTGCTGCATATGCCGGACCTCAATCTCATCATCGCGGGGGACGTTATATACGGAGAGTGTCATCAGCATCTCGGCGAGAATCCAACCTCTGAACTCCGGCAGAAGTGGTTACAAGCCATTAATCAGGTTGTCAAGCTGCAGCCAAAGGTCATCGTGCCATCTCATATGCAGCCTCATGAAGACTTTGGCTTACACCATTTGGAGAACACAAGAGATTACATCAAAACCTGGGATGAGATGGTTAATAGAACTCAATCATAGCAAGAGCTGGAGCAAGCCATCAAAGAGAAGTATCCAAATCGGATCGGAAGCTACATAATTAGATTTTCTGCTCTAGTTCAAAAGGGTGTTGTAACGATTAGGTAGGAGTATGATGAGGAAGTGTTATAAACCTATGCCCAGCCAACAGAGAACACTTATAGAGACAGTATTACTTTTCTGCCCACCAGAGTCATAGGATCATAGGATAGAACTTTCTACGTGCTCTTTCACATGGCCCGTACTGTAAGATCAATACAGTATTACTCCAACAAAAATCAAGATGCAGCACTGAGAGGCTGTCCGTTACTCTTTACAATTGTGGTCTCTCTGTTGAAGTTCCCATTCAACTATTTGGTCTGACCAGAGAAAATCGAGATACTTTGAGATTATGCCTGGAAACCGCTCTTCTCAGATAACAGTCTTGCTGTTCAAATTGTAAAATTAGCCTTTTGGGTCCACAAGAAGCGAACTCCATTTCTCTTAGACTTTTCTACTGTTTGGCCCTGATGAAGAAGCTCAGGGGTCCATTAAGCCTTCTACCATGGTATTTTGACCGCTTGCCTAGTCTCCAACAGTTGCAAATAATAATCTATCAACACAAAAGAAATGTATTCAGTATGCAGTCAATATACCAGTAATAAGAGATTACTTACTGGCTACTCGCCATCTGTGACTGACTTATTCGAGAGCCCCTTTCAGCTCAAGAATTTCCTAATCCACTTCGGCTGATCTTATATCATAGCCAAGTGAGATATGCGCTATGGCAGATCAATAGATCCAATCTAGTGCAATGGGAGGAAAATCATCTAAAGTCCCCCGATTGCCATCCCGAAAACTCTGAATAATGCCCATTGCTTTTACTAAAACGGTTCGAATAAAACAATGAGACTCCTCTTTACCGTCTTCAGTCAAGTTCTGGTGTAACTCAGATAGGTATGTGGTACAAAGGAGTAAAATTACACTATTTTATAGTCAGCGTAATTCTCTTTCCAATCTGTTAACTAGCTGGGATTCAACCTGTAACAAGTAGCGATTAAACAGCAGCATATAACCTAGCTTTCCAGCTCTTCACATAAAGTAAGATGCTCCAGTGCGAACAGGGTTTTCTCCAATTGGGTAATAATATCAAGGTCAATCCGCAATGCGTCATCACTACTTAAGATATGCCGAAATACCCGGCTGAGAAGGTTGACGGCTTAGGCTAAGCGCGTATAACTACCGTTCTGCAGACCGGATGTTAACAGGAGAGTCTGGGGTTAGTTGTTGGGCAGTATCTGGAGAGCAAGTTCTTTTAGCCTATTCCCAAATACAAATGAACGCTCATAGAAGACCACCTACCCCTCGATCCCAGGCATCATCATCTATTGGCAGTAAGGAAGTCTCGCTAGGATCAGGCATACAGAGATGGCCACCCTTTAAGCTGAGATTCATAGTACTCCGCTACTTAGCATCTCTTCATTTGAAAACAAGAACTACACCATACTTACCGGTCTAAAATCAGGATCGCCCACCATATGCGGTTCCGCTCCTCTTATTCTACCCATAATTTAGGCTGCAGTGGCAATGTCCCCGTAATGCCTAGAGCAGTGGCGTAACGCGCACACGTTAAGACAGTGGTGAAAGCACCTGGAAAGATACCATGGCCTATCTCATATAGCGCGATCAAAACCGTCAATTAAATCGTGTAGATGCTTACATAACCGGCCATTTCCAGATAAAGTTAGAATTCCTTAGTCATAATATAGACCTCCGAGCATAAGTCTGCCTCCTCAGGGCAAGAGAGAATCAACTTCATGCCTAGCAGGATAAATACCATATCAGGATCGGCATAACGCAAAGGGTCCATCAACGACCCGTAGAAGCGAATACGGGAAATAATTAGCATCCAGTGGTGAGCTGTTCTGAAGTACTCAGCAGCCAATACTTTTTTGGAATTGGCATCGCCCAAAAAATCGGTCACTTTTGGAGGGATCGGTAGTCGGCAGCGGGGCGTAGCTAGGGACGCGGAATAGCAGGAGACGGTTGGGTCGAGGAATACTGCGACAGGAAAGTTGTTTCTCAAGCGTTGTTGGCTGACTACAACGCTGTTGTTGGTTTCAGAGATCGGTAGCTGCTCGTTTTCAATATGTTTTGTAGGTTGGTAAGAGCATGGGCGACGTCCACTGCGCTTTCATAGTCAGTTATGATGGTAGAAGTCCCAGACGCAGAACTAAACCAGCATACCGAACACAGAGATGACACTCCGGCAGCTCTCGGGGACATTTCCTCTTTCGAAGTTTACATGGTTGACAAGACCTATTCGCCATCCTATAGGCGACCGGCGGAGGATTCGTAGTACGCGGTGATTCCATCGCGACCTTGCGTGTCGTTACAGCAGTCATTGAGAGCGCTGGTTCAGCAGAGACCGCAAAATTCGGATGATTTCAAAAAGCGGACTTCTTACGGCCGAAATGCCCGCAAACATCCGCTCCATTTACCTCGGCCCGCAAAACAAACACCAAGGACTTAGCGTGTCCAGCTGGGGGGCTTCAGCGATTCCTAGCGCTGCCTGCAAAGAAGACACTTGCAAAAGCTCCAATACACTCATCTCCTCAGATCATTGTGCGAGTTCCTATGATTAGTTATCAGAAGTTTTGTCATCTACTGCGGCTCTTACCCGGGTTATTCACATATTTGTGCTTTTTAGTAGACTTATAGAGATATAAAGCTCTCGCTGTCCTGCTTTAATGATAATGCTAAGAACTATTCATCTCAACAGATTATGGCAACCAACAACTCTGTAGTCATCTTTGGTGCCAGCGGCAACGTAGGCAAGTTCGCTGTACCAGCGCTGCTTAAAGCCGGCGCCAAAGTCACCCTTGTCACACGCAAAGGTTCGAAAACTACTTTCCAATACAAGAATGCTACTGTAGTCACCGCAGACTATAGCTCCCAGTCCGAACTCATCTCCATTATCCGTGGCCACAAGTCAGTTATCTCGCTCCTCAGCGTTAAAGCACTATCTCTGCAGAGGAATCTCATCAATGCCGCAATCAAAGCACAAGCTACCCTTTTCATCCCTAGCGAGTTCAGCCACAACACCACAAATAAGAATATGACCTCTTTACTGCCTGTCCTCGGTGTTAAGACTAAGATAATCAAATACTTACAGGAAAGGGAGAAAGATAGGCTGAACTGGACGGGTATCATCACAGCTCTATTCTTTAACTGGGTAGATCTCACCTCTCCCCTTACTTTCAGCAGGAACACTCCGGCAAGCTAATACAGCATTTTAGGGCCTGCCACAAGGCAACTTTGGCTTCGACTTGAAAGCGGGCAAGGCGACAATCTGGGATGGCGGTAACGCTTCATTCTCAGCAGCCAATTTGGACGACATCTCGGCCGCTATCGTAAAAGTCATCACTGACTCCTCCGCCCGTGAGCGCTACAAGAATCAGCACGTCTACGTGTCGTCCGTTCAGACGACGCAGAATGAGATTCTAGCTGCGGCGGAGGAAGTTACCGGCAAGAAATTCAAGGTTGCCCAGTTCGACTCAGAGGAGGCGTTTGCCTACACAACCAAACCGCTGCCTCCGGGCTACTCGCCCCAGCTGTTAGCCGTGCTCGCAGCGTTGCAGTTGTCGAAGCGGGGATTAAGTAATTATCAGGCCCGTGTTAACGCTGGGCACAACCGGTTCGTTATTAACGCAAAGAGGAATGTAAGGGATGTGTTAAAGGCTGTGGTAGAAGAAGAAGCAAAAATATAAGGAAATTAAACATTTTAGAGCTAGAAATTTCTGTATCCACGATTGCTTGAAGATTTATACTTGCTATGACATTTGTTTTTGTACCTAGGTATTATAATAACCTAACACTTATAGTTCCATTAACTAGCCTACAGGGGTTATTCCTCCCCGGGTTTATCCAGTAGCCTAGCTATACAGCTAATGTAAGTTACAAAGTTTTATTTTAAAAAGTAAATTAAGTCAGTATCTATAACCTACTTAAAGGCTGGGTCGTCTAACAGCTCAGAGACAGGATAAGATCAGTCTATATATTAATATAAAAGTAAAAGGCTAAAGAATCAGAGCATACGCAATATATGCATTTCCAATAAAGACAATAACCGGAATAGTATACCCCGATTAATAACCAGTCAATCCCACTAACACCTCTTCTCACTCAAATCTTGCAGAGTTATCCATCGGGTTTTATTATCCAGAATTCCAACCTAACACAGGGTGAGAAAAAAACCACAGCTTGCGGATCATAAGTTTGCTTAATTTGCAAAAGTTTTCCATACTTGTCACCCCAGAAGCTATCTTAGAAGTTTAGTTCCATAGGATCGCACTAAAGGAAATTAGAAATTAGTTATAGTCTATATAAGACAGACTCAGGCAATAGCGGACCTTATTCAAATAGACACCTGTATGTAGTGCTAGTCAGCGTAATGCAGCCATATTCTTATTAATAAGCTCAGACATAACCAGCTCCTTCTATCTAGCATCTAAAGGGGCCCAACCAACAGGGATCACTACATATGCTCTTAGTCAGTAACTATTAAATATCCACAGCTTATAGAATATAAAGTTTCCTCACAGTTATTTATTATTGCGCTTCTCCACGCTTTATTTACAGCGTTATCGCCACCCCTAGGCTGCGCAGGTTGTGAGCAGGTAGGCTGAGCCGTACTGACCAACATCATCAACGGCGCGGAATTGATCTGTGATCGGGGGACGGCAGTTCAATAATAGTGTTATCCAATGCCATGCAAAAGACCGACAGGCACAAGGCAAGGGAAATCAGGCCCAGCCTCCACAATAAAGGATCTTCTGTATCGTCGTCGTCTTGTGATTCGGTTTTAATGCCTGTGGTTTCAACCGCATCGGTTCTCTCCTTCATATCGGCATCCTTTCCTTCAACATCTGTAACAGCGGTTAAGTTTTCGTAGATGTCATCCAGTGTCGCAGTTTTTCCCATTGATCTTAATTTTGCAAGCGGTTTCTTCGTGCGGACCGGTTAGGACTTCAGTTGATTACAGTTCTCCGCAACCAATCATATGCTCGCGAGAGAGATTCCATTTAATCAAAACCCAGATATCGTGTATGAATTATCCAGCATCGAAAAGTTCCCCCATTACGCAGAGTCCTCTCGCCGTGTTAATCTGCGACCACTATTGCGCGCCAATATCATATCATGGGCTGGTCTCCGACTCCTCAGAATCTCAATCTGCTCTCAATCATAGAACCCTAACCGCACCTAAGGCACAAACTTATATAAAGTATAAAAGCCCAAGTTAATATCATATAGCACTCTATCCAGCGTTTCCTTATTAAGCGAATAAAAATCTTAAAGTTAATGCCGGCATTAGCGGTTACTCTATATTACATAGACTAAAGAAATACATAGAGAAATCATACACCATACATTAATATAGTTACTTAGTTTCTAAAGGACAAGCTCTTTATTCTGGGTTTCTCCGCAGCCCCATGCTTACTGGACATAGGTCTACCGCTAATTACAAGAGGGGCCATTACTTTAAGTAGATAATCGCCAGCTAAGAAAACATTCATCGACCGAGCTACCTTTCGGTCACAACTAAGTTAATTCCCTCTCTGCCAGCAGGTAACGCATCCAAAATCCGTCTACTGCACTATTTATGGTTTAACGGAACGATTATGAGAATGTGTATGGTTTAACGGAACAATTATATGGTTTAACGGAACAATTATTTATGGTTTAACGGAACGATTATGTTAACACTATATTAGTTAATTAGAGTAATAGCGCAAGGGCCGCAGTAGTTTTTCCCCTTGGGTAAGTCTAAACTCTAACAGGCGATAATGCCCATTTGCGACAGCATTTCATCGTCCGGATAACAAAGTCTGCCTTAAGGAGCAGGAAAATATAAAAGAAGTTACAGTCATTCATCTATCATAATATATAGTCCATATTACGCGGAACGTTCAGATTCTGAGATAATAAGAGGCCGCCGGAAGGCGGCATGCGACTATAGGCAGCAGGGATCCGTGTAATAAAATAAGTTTTATTATCACTGCCCTAGTTAAGCTAATCAAAGCCTATCTTTATTAGCCCTTAGTCTGCAGTAAATCCGGTGGATCCTATTCTGTAGACCTATTGCTGTGACTATAAGGATCGGGTTATAACAGGAAGGTATAATCGGAAGATGCGCAATATGCCTCCTTAATATCTCTTATAGCAATCTACCTTAACAACTTTGAAATCGAAATAATACCATATTTTCAGCTACTAAGTGTGGTACGCGGATTAATATGCAGATATTGTGTAAAGTGAAATATTCGCGTGCGCATATTCAATGATACACGTAATACGACTTCTGCGCTTCCAGACTTCAACATCAACGTCTCCTCGTCGTATCAAGTTGATCGCTCGGTGGCTCCGTTATCGCGTGCCTTGTTCCTACCTTGCCTTCCCATCTTCCATTAACGTCGTCTTCATATCAGTGTTTGTCATTACAGGTCATTAATTTCAAAACTAACGTCACAAAACCGTAACTCTGTGATCCGGAAGTGATGGATTATATATTTCATTGCTGCGTCAAGCATGGTATAACTCGCCAAGTGAAGAGATCATTACAAAATTTACAGCTCTTATAACGACCTAAATAGTGTCACGTTTAAAAAAAAGTGCATAACGTGTTCTCTCTTTCAAGTCTTTAGTATTGTGCGGGGTCATTTATAATACATACCATATATCAGATATACCATATACGTCACTTCACTAATAAGACACCGAAGTGAAGTCATACTTAATAGATTGTATGCACGTTGGCCGGCTATAAAGCTTCAATACTTATCAACGAAAAAGACAGCTGTCAGTAAGCTTTTTCTACCATCAAGAGCATCGCTAATATAACCAAAGAAACTAAAGATCGCTTCAAACTAAACCACATACCGTTTACTCAAGTTTAGGATAATTCACATCCTCACAATAGCCGAGGTATCAAAGTAAGTTTCTTTCCCTCAGCTGCAGATATATCAACAGTCTCATATTTCAAAGACCGGTTCTTACCACTGCATACACACCGCATCCAAGTGAGACAATAAAAGCCGCTCTCTGGAAGGGTACGAAATCAATCGAGTTAGGTGTGGTGCCCAAGCCCACTATTACCGCACCGAAAGATGCAATTGTGCATATCACCCACTGTACAATATGCGGCTCGGATCTGCACATGTACGCTGGTGATATGAACAATATCATGGAAAAAGGGTTAATTATGGGCCATGAGGCCATCGGCATCGTCGAAGACGTTAGGCCTGAAGTCAAGAATTTGAAAGTAGGAGATCGAGTCATTATCTTGCCCGTAATTGCGTGTGGGGAATGCTTCTACTGCAAGCGCAAGGAGTTTTCTCTCTGTAATCGAACGAACCCATCTAAGGAATTGGAACAAATGTATGGGCATCGCCTCTCTAGTATATTTAGCTACTCTATAATCACTGGAGGCTATCCAGGCAATCAGGCAGAGTACTGCCGTGTTCCCAATGCGGACCTCACCTGTGTTAAAGCGCCAAAAGATATCAACGCAAAAAAGCTAGTTGCTCTTGCCGATGTGACACCTACAGCGTGGCATGGCTGCGAGCTCGCAGAAGTGGGTCAAGGAGATATTGTTGGTGTTTGGGGCTGCGGTGCCGTCGGTCTCTCGATCCAACATTTAGCAAAGTTCCGAGGGGCCCGAAAAGTCTACGCACTCAACAAGGATGTCAATCGGCTCAAGATTGCGGCATCTTTTGGCATAATTCCCATTAACGTAAATAAACACACTGATCCAGCAGATTATATTTTATCTATTAAACCTCACGGCCTGGATCGCGGTATTAAAGCAAGTGGTTTCAGGAGTACGAACTCGGTCGCTCACTCAACAATAAGAGGGCTGGGCTTCGAGGGCGATAGTTCTGACACTGTCAGTGCAGTGATCAAGGCAACCCAGAAGGGTGGAAATATTGCTTTAATTGGCGACTTCTTCTTTACAACCAATCTATTCCCGATCGGAATGTTAATGGAAAAAGCTATTACTCTACGGGGTGGACAGCTTTACGCCGAGAAAGTAAGTTACACAGACTCAGTTATCTGTGATATATCACGAGGAAGAAATATAAGAAAGAATTACTGCTGTTTTCAAAGATATTACACACTAACTGCCGTCGTCCCAATTTCTAGTATTTCCCATACCTTCTCAACATTGTTGTGCAAGGAGAATATAATCCATCTTTTATTTTTACTCACGAAGGTATGTAAAGCGCTCTAGTCGAACTATGAGTTATCTTATTGTTCTCAATTAATTTTTTCCTAGTTAGATAATCTTAAGAATATCTCACAGAATTATAATGCATTTTATAACCATACAATACCCAGAGGGTTAAAGGTATGCCTTACTACTGACTTTAGCCGGGAATATACATAAGGGTAAATGTAAGTAAGATTTTAACATTATATAAGAAAATATTCTATTCCTCAAAAACTAATTTATTTACAAATACTACTAACTTTAGCATCAAAACAACCACAGGCTATATTACTATCCTTTTTATTTTTTACAAAGGTATTCTTAAGTGTTAAGGCTCTGACAAGAAAAGCTATTGTACCTAGCTAGGCAGCTTAGCAAAGTAACAGGTCAATTAATACAATGCTTTACTATTCTTTACTGCTTCCCAGCAGAGTCTTTACAATCCCACATTAAGATACTAAGTATAATCTAGTAAGGTATCTTATTAGCTAATATTTAGAATAGCGTCCACAAGCAGCTATCCACAAAGCATGCCATCGGAATAGGAGGAGAGGTAAGGGGCTTACCCAAAACCGCTGTAAGACTATAATAACCTTGCTATTAACATATGGATAAAGACTATGCTAATGGCACCATGCTTACTTTATTGTGCAGCAGCTTGGTATCTGCACCACTGTTGAATATTGTTGGCGAAGTAAGTCTTTCGCGACATTACCGCCCGAGTTACTTAGCCGCTCTTAAGAAAAAAACAAGTGTGCCATCCGAGTAGTTAATCTAGTCGTTATAAGCTCGCCACATACGAAATAGATCTAATTCCATTTCCTGCGGCCTAGACTGGTGGCCAGGGGAGAGGTCATGTCCAACTTCAATAGTGGGGTCAACGGCAATAATATCCTGGGGCTTGGTCGCGGTTCTCGACAGGAGTATCTTTATGTCGTCTTCCTCCTTGCAAATGAAATTTCCATCGTCGTGGTAGTGTATGACACGCTGTGTGATACCCATCTGGATTCTCTTTACTCTGACGTCCAAGCTAGCCCGCGGCATCACCTTAAGCCGAGTCAAGAATTCGGTACCGACAGGGAAGCGTCGTGCGCACTCGGCCTAATACTGTATGTATCAATCAATTGGCTCAAATTGCTCATTTTCTCTCCGATTTCTGCGTTCAACTGAGGCAGAACTCAGACAACTGGGACCTTCTTCGCGAACTAAAGCGGGGAGCCGGCTATTCCTAGGCGCTCTACCGTAGCGCGGAGTTTCCATTTCACAATACGAAACTTCATATCAATGGTCTCCAGTTCCGTATTATTAACCATGAGCCTGAATAATACTCGTAATCTCCAGGTGCTAGAGCCTTACCACGCTTACTATGGGTGTTAGGAGGGCGGATAGGCGACATATCTCCTGCCTCATTCCGTGCATTTTTAGGACCCAAGGAGAGCCGCCCGAGAGCCATTTTTGCTAAAACAGTTTAACTGCCACTTCTCTCTGCCATTCTGGAGAACTCCGTAGTTAGGTCTAAGGAAGGGGCGTCTTAATAAGGGCCTCTGGATTTTTCTGCTCTCTGCAGGCTTGTGTTCGCCTCCGACAGCGGCTAGAATGGCCAGTCCGTGTCAACAACTACCTCGGGTGTTTTGATACCACTGATAGCCTGGCTCTCCCAGTTCTGTTTGACAAGCGATACCTGGATCGACGCAATCCTAATGTTTTGCGTAGCAGATAGTTTGATTCTCCCAAGCACTTCGATTACGTCGCTTTGAGTCCCAGCTAGAAGACCATGGCTCGGGTCAATCAGAAATATGGCTGTTTAATCTAGCAAAAACTTGCACGTTAGGACAGGGCCAAATGAAGGAATATATTGCAAGGATTAAAAGCCCGGCCATGACTAACCGGTAATTTTTAATGCGCTTGCTGCTTTTCCCGGGCCGAGTTCATACAAGACTGCCTTAGCATATAAAGCAGCCATCGCTGCTACATACGGTTGCCATTCTTTATTCTTATACTCGTCAGCATAGTCACACACTCCTTATATAACAGAGACCTTAATACGATTCATAATGCCTGCTGCCTCCATCTCGAGTCCAATAATATCGTCATTTTTCAGCTTCTTTCTCAGCTCGTCGCGCGCCCGAGCACTCTTCATCAGCTTATCTCCTAATCCAATCGGGCCATACCAGACACAAGTACGCTCCGTTGTCGGCCGGGCCTCTCGTGAAACCATTTTCTTATGGCCGTCCTCGCCGATGGCGTAGAAATTATCCTTATCTTATCCAGGATCGTGGAAACTGCCCCTGCTATGTCTTTTGTCTTTAATCGTTTAGTATATTAACAGTCCGGAATTCCTTTACAATAAAAGGCAAGCTGCAAAGCCTTATTAAAGTATTCGATCCTAGCTTTGTAAACTCTATATAGTATATTCTATTACCAAATAGCGCATATAACTAAGCCTAATTTATACTAAACCAGTGTGACTAATTAGGATCAAGATCCATGAAAGCATATGTGTATATATCATCGAAAGCCATATCCAATATCCTACTAGGAAGGTTCTCTACTGTAGTCGTAAAATTTGTTATTGATATAGACATGTTTCCCATAGCTTTATCAAGAGATTTCGCATTCTCTGTCTGCCATAAGCTAGTGTTGCTTTTTAGAGATGACACTATACTAAGTTCAGTCATAAGCTAAACCTAGTCGTTCAGTGTCACCTGTCGAGCATCCCAGGACTGAAGTATCATTCTAGATACCATTTGGTAAAAAGGGCTTTTAGCATTTTCTTAAAACAGGAGGCGAGCTGTATAATTTTCATCGATTTTCAACCAAGCTTGCGCCGCGATACTGCTTGTAGGACGCCGTTTCAGGTCTTGTAAAAGCTGTAAATATGCAGTAAATGGGAAATGATACATTTAAATCAGCCAGAGAAAGCCTTTGACAGTGGAAGAAGTCATGATCTTACTATCACAAGTTATCATGTCCACTGCCATTAGGCCTAGAGCGTCACGCTAGGTGTCTCCAACTGGGCCATTCAGCGTTGAAAACCGCTCTATCATGCGATATCTAGCGATGGAACCCCGGGCGGTCCATATGGTCATAAACTGTAGCGGGATCTCTGGATTGCAGAGCTGGAGATAATTTTCCTCCAGCTCTTTTTTAAAGGCGTCAACTTCACCGCCATCCACGTCGGACTTTGTGCTAGCAGTCCTCGTTGCAGCGTTCATGGCCGGGTTAGTAAATTTAAAATAGAATGGGGAGTGTCTAATGAAATCTGCAATCACGCCACGCACGACGACAAAAATGGAGTCGCTGATCCTTGTTTGAGTTCTGGGTATCTCTCTCAGTCCAGTTCGGAGCTCAGACTCATTGACATTGAGAGGAATGCGGCAGTCCCACATAGGAGTCAGCGCCGTCTTCTTAGTGTCAATTAATTCACAAATGCGAGTGTCGAATAGAACTAAAGCCCACCATAGCCGTCGACGCATCTCGGCTTCGACAATGTCACACTTGGCTAAGCTTGATTCATTATCAAGCCCTATGCGCTGTGCAGTGCGTAGTGCAATTCCAAGCATGGACGAGACAGAGCGAGGATCCATCTTTGGTCTTATAGAGAGCTAAAAATCGGTCAGAAGTTCCCCAGTGACGGAAGACAAGATCCTACCAGATGGAGAAACAGAGCAGTCAAACAATCCCGATCGTCTGTCCTTAGAAAGCGAGCATTGAGAAGGGCTTCTTGAGAGCCACGATGATATTGCTGGAGAAGAACGCTTCTTATTGTGCCAAAGAAATTAATACAATCTTCACTTGTCAAACTCACTACGGCCATGCTGTAGATGCCAAACATGAGAGCTTCGAAGTTTGGTTCAATGTTGGACAGATTGCCTGCCGCTTCTATGATGCGGCTCTGGATGCTGGGAGCATATATAACTTGCAGGAGAGGATTGACATTTTCAATATAGAGGTGGCAAAGCCTGAAGATTTGAACAGCATTTGGGTGCAGTGAGGACAGGTCAGCAGGCTCCTGGCGTGCGCCAAAAAGCAGTTGATCATTTTCGTGGTATATCATATCCCACGTATTTTTAACGGGGTTATCACGCACATCCTCGTACGATATATCACTGTCATTATCTCAGTACTATTCTTATTAGCAACCATACAGGATTGGTTGGTTAAAGGGGCCACATACGCTTCGGGTCACAGCGTGCCAATAATCTCTGCCGATAGTAAAAACCAAATGGTTATTAGCCTTTGTTATATAACCACACTGGGCAAAGCATACTTCGCCTCGTAAACTCTTTCCGAATCTACTCTTGCTGCAAGGCTCAGGCTGTCCACTCGCTCATTCTCCTAATATAAGTAATCTGCATCTTCCACAGCTAGAGAATCATTTCCTAGAATTTTATATTTGCGCAGATAATCGAATTTAACATTATTTGCGCGAAGCAAGCTCTCGTAGACACGGAGCTAATCCACCAAGTCTGGCGGCGGAATTTTGCGTCGTCTTCGGCGCGGGGCCAACGTAGCTAGCTCGCAATGCGATTGAGCTTTAATGCAGTTATTGCAAGGGAACTTTCGATTGCACTTAATCTTACGCTGATGACAAAGTACACATGCAAGGATGCGCTGCGACTTCACAGCCTATTGGGAGAATGGAGTGTCATTAAGTGGCGCACCTAGACTCGCGTCCGTGGATAGTGGCTCTCCATCCAGCTTCAGGCTTATTTTCTCCATATTTTCATCCTGTCGATCCATCGATAAGTTATTTAGAATGGAACAGTTAAAGCTTCAAATGTCCGATTTTATTAAGATTAACCTGTGATTTGTCCATAAGAGGCCGCAAACTTCATAAACAGACAATGTGAAGAGTCCGTAAGTTTAAGGAGACTACCGTGCGCTAATTGCATTAACAGTCATGTAATTCCCGGACATTCTATAACATCCGAAATTATTTCAGTCCCAAACTTACACAGTTCGTCAAAGTAGCCGAGAGCGCGTAGCTTATAGTGTGACGAACCGTACACTAGATAGTTAGTAATACGAGGGCTTCCCAAGGGACAAACCTAGAGTTCAGTTCTGGGTTTATGTTGGCGGAGCGATCAGGAGATCTTCGGGCAATGTAAACAGTAATAACAAATGTCACCAGATAGTAGGCAGTGCAGAGCGTGTTGCAATCTTGATTCTGTGTTAACAACTGGCTATCTAAGTTATCTAAATGAGCGTGGTGAAGTGAACTTATATATCCAGTTGAGGTTTCTGGATCGTAGTGGAAAGCTGTCTTTCCTAGCTTTCCTTGGTGTTGAGGAAAGCTAGCTTTCCTGGCTTTCCTTGTTTAGTGAGCGTGGGCTTTTGATTGGTCAACGGATTATAGTTAATCCGTTCCGTCCTACCCTGTAGGCCCGTTGTGACGACCATAAGTGTTGGGTCGTGACATATAGTCAACAATAGACAAGAGTCACAATAGTATAAGTATAATAGAAGGTCTCGAGCCAGAGCACATCAAGGCATTTCCAACGTCAAGGAGACTCGGAATCATTCTATTCTCGCTTAGCTTAAGGCAACTCTGAAATCTTTAAACTTTATTTCTATTTTCACACCGCAAAGAAATACTCTCAGCTTATAAAATAGCTTCTCTTCCTATTGCATCGTGTTGCTTTAAGGGTGTCAAGCATAGGTAAGTAAATCGCAAAATCCACCACAACAGCTACATCAACACATACACTTAAAGTAGACTTTTATCAATTTTCTCTTTTGCAAGCTAGATTAGCAGGAGATAAGTTAAATACACATCTCTGCCCATTGCAAATTATATTACATTTGCAACTCCTCCTATTCCGTGTTAAAAGTTCCACTACCCTGGCCTAGTTAAGTGTCTTTGCCAAAGGAGAGTGCTCGTCGTACATATCCTTTATCAGGACTCCAAAATGCCTTATGCTAACTATTATCTTCTTAAGAGGCGAGACTACCGGAAAGTCTTTTAAAATTAGCAACTACAATGCTTATCTCGCAACTCCTAAGGACAATAATAACCACCAAGGCACCGGAATTTTATACCTTAGTAATGTCTTCGGTATCTGGACCAATTCGCAGTTAATGGCTAATCAATATACGGCGAATGGATACACAACTTTAATCATCGACATTCTTAACGGAGACGGATTAACAGAGATCCCGGGTCATAATTTTAACTGGATGAAATGGTTAATGGGTGGCTTCCGAGACAATTCCACTCCTCATACTAATGAATACATTGACCCCGCCGTCGAAGAAGCTATCAAGTACATGAGGAATAAGCTAAATATAACTGCAATTGGCGCAGTTGGCTATTGCTTTGGAGCAAAGGTAACTTAAGAGCTTATTCTATAATACTTTATTCCTGGCCTCCTCACGTCTCGCGCCTTATATAAAGCATTTGCTACCACACAAACATCCGTTCTAAAAGGTTGTATGAGCGTCACACTAATTCGGTTGCGTAGTATATTGCTCGTCACTCCGGCGCCGAAAAAATCAACGTTAGCTATATGGCCCACCCTTCTAACATCAATGACAATAAGATCAAAGGCTTTCAAGGTCCTCTTTCTATAGCGGCCGCTGAATATAATAACCTTTTCCCACCAGAGCTACGCTATAAGACTGAGAATCTTCTTAAGACGAAAAGCTTTCCTTACCAAATCAATCTATTCTCTGGTGTGTCACATGGCTTTGGTGTTCATGGTGACTTAACTAACCCAGTCTTTAAGTGGTGTAAGGAACAAGCTTTCTTCCAAGCCATTGCTTGGTTTAACCAATATCTTGTTAGTAATGAAAAGGGCAGTTTATAAGGTATTATAAGCAGGGTAGTAAATTAGTTATTAGTAAAGTAATTTTACTCTTTACTATACCCTGTGTAATAATAGGTAGTAAGGCAGGTAGCTAATAGTATTATATTAAGACTAAAGCTTAAAGGAGGAAAAGGACTATTTTATGTGCTAAGACTAGAAGGAGTGTAATAAACTGTATACTAGATAGTTAGTATAGGGTAAATTCCTAAGGGATAAACCTAGTAATAATTCTAGGTTTATATTAGTGTTACGACCTAATAACTATAAGATATATACCTACAGAAATACCATAGACTAATAGACTAATTAGGAGAGGATTATATCTTATACTGTAAGCTACTTATAATAGATTATAAACACTAAAGTAAGCTATCCTAGAGGATTATAATTAGAATTATAAGTTACTTAAAATAACTTACTATATAAGAACTATTTATTACACTTATTAAATAAAACTTAAATAGTTAATTATTAATATAATACTTTTAAATAATAATTAAATTAATTATTTATAACTTTATTAGCTATATAATTACTTTACTTATTAAATCCCTTATATCTCTCTGCTAATATAAACTAATGCCTTAGTTTATAAATTAAGAACTTACCTTATACTTAAGTATAATAGTATAAGTTAGGATATTATATATTAATAACTCTTATTTAAAAAAATACCTATAATCTTTTAAGTAATTTAAATTACTATACCTAAAGTAACTTTATTAACTAGCATTTTTATTACTTTACTAGCACTTACTGTAACGAACCGTACACTAGATAGTTAGTAATACGAGGGCTTCCCAAGAGACAAACCTAAAGTTCAGTTCTGGGTTTATATTAGCGGAGCAATTAGGAGATCTTCGGGCAATATAAACAGTAATAACAAATGTCACCAGATAGTAAGCAGTGCAGAGCGTGTTGCAATCTTGATTCTGTGTTAACAACTGGCTATCTAAGTTATCTAAATAAGCGTAGTGAAGTAAACTTATATATCCAGTTAAGGTTTCTAGATTATAGTAAAAAGCTATCTTTCCTAGCTTTCCTTAGTGTTAAGGAAAGCTAGCTTTCCTGGCTTTCCTTATTTAGTGAGCGTAGGCTTTTAATTGGTTAACGGATTATAGTTAATCCGTTCCGTCCTACCCTGTAGGCCCGTTATGACAACCATAAGTGTTGGGTTGTGACACAATACTCCCTCCTTGTTAGTCTTATCCTTAAGACCTGGTTACGTTATTATATAAGTATCCCCACCTGTCTTCCTTCCTAGGTGAGTTATTCCTTCCTTAGTTTCTTTCCTTTATTTTTATTATGGTTAAACGCAAGCGAGATAATAACAATACTTCCACGTAAAAGAAAGAGGAGCGTAAAGGTCTTGCTAACACTATACTAGAGAATTCCGTTCTTATTATAAAGTCATGCACCTACTGCGAGTCTCAAGGTCATAAATGCATTGCTTCAGAAGAGGATTCCCATTGTTGTTTATCTTATGTGAAAAATCAGAAATCTTATTGTAAGGCTTTTAGTCTTACCCCTTAACAGATGCGAAAAGTTACGTCTTATTATTTAAAACTGAATAAGGAGCTCGAGGAAGCTAAAGAGGCTTAGTTAGAGCTTAGTGCGAAGGTTAAACGTCTTCGTACCCAGAAACGAGAGTGGTTAAGGAGGATGGAATGTGCAATTGCGCGGGGGCTGGATAATTTAGAGGAATTAAAACGGGTTAAGCGCGAGGAACGCAAAGCGGAGGCCGCTTATTAGGTTGCCCTGTTAGCGCCTAATTCTACTGTCGGCCCGTCCCAGTCCGTCGACGCTATTAATTAATCTGCCTTTAAACTGGACCCATTGTTATTTCTACCCCTAGAGACCAATGAAATTCCCGCAGGATTGTCTAGGCGCTCCTCTTAAGTTCTTTTTCTAGAACCCAAGAGTCTTCATTGGAATTGTATCCTTTCTATCTAACGAGGTATTCTTATTCTCCTGTTTCTTTGTTTATTTGCATGCGAAGTAGTTTTTTAATTTCATATTCTTCTTCAATGTCTTAGACAATAATTTCGTCCATAATTGGTTCGCCTATTTCCTTATTCACTAGTGCTTTCTTAAGTAGTAATACGTGGAAGACAGCTGTTTTTAATCTTATGTTTTCGGGTAAGTCTAATTCATAGTTAACTTCGCCGATTTTCTTCAGAATTTTAAATGGTCTAAGTTTTCTAAAATCCAATTTATTACTTGGCCTGTTTGTTCTGATGTTTGGCAATTTTTTATTGCGTGAATGTTGTAGTAGGTAGACTATGTCTCCCTCCTGAAGGGTTAGTCCCTTAATCCTTGTTCGGTTAGCGTATTCCTTTGTGCGCTGCCTGAAGAATTTGAGTTGAACTTTGAGTTCTTCCTGTAATTGGATCATATCTTCTGCAAGGATGCGTGCATTGTCCGCATTTAGGCCATTGCGAGGTAGTCTGTAGGCTTCCGGTGTAAATCTGTAGTTAGCGTAGAATGGTGTAACTCCTGTAGTTTCTATAGTGGAGCTGTTATATTGCATTTGTGCGATTAGTAGTATTTTAACCCAGTTGTCTTGCTGGAGGTTGATGTAGCATTGTAAGTATGCTTCGATAACTTAATTTATCTGTTCTGTCTGTCCGTCCGTTTGTGGATGGAACGCGGTGCTTAGCTTATGGTGAGTTCTGAGTTTAGCTATTAGTTCTTGCCAGAATTTAAATGCAAAGGTACTTCCTCTGTCCGATATAATTTCTTTTAGCATTCCGTGTTCAGCGAATACATATCTTATGTAGAGATGCGCTAAATTTTCTGCTGTGTGCAATTTCTTATATGGTAAGAAGTATGCTTACTTTAAGAGTTTGTCCACAACCATAAAAATACTGTTAAATTGTTTTCCAGTTAGTGGATCTTTTGACTTAGGCAAGTTAGTGATATGGTTGAATGTAACTGTGTTTTAATTTCTTTCCGGAACTGGGGTTAGTTGTAATGTTCTATATGGCCGATGCCTTTCGTCTTTTGTCTTCTTATATATATTGCATTTCTTAATGACTTCTGAAATTTTATTCTTCATTCCTGGAAATTTATAGTAGTGTATAGCGTAGTTCCAGGTAGTTCGGACACCACAGTGTGCTGCCGCAATCATACTGCGATGTAAGTCTTGGATTGCTTCTAATTATAGTTCCAGTAGTACCTAGATTTTTCCTTCCCATTTTAGCAAGCCTTCCTCAATAGTTGCTTCTTCCGGGAGTTCTTCTGGTTCCATATTGGCTACACATTCCCTTATTTTGTTAAGGATAGGGTTGTGTTCTTCTACAACAAATAGGGTGTCAACTCATATTTATTTATAATTTCCTTAATAATTCTTCCTTAGAATCTGGGCTTCGAATTCTAAAATTTCTTCGAAGTGTTCTTCTTTTTTACTTAGTGCGTTTACTCGTCCATTAGCAGTGCCGTCGCAATAGATAAGTTCATAGTTAAAGTCTAAGAGTGTCTTAAAATATTATGTTTATCGCGCAGAGAGTTTCTAAGTCTTAGTGAAGTATACAATGTTGCGGTGGTTGGTATAGACCTTAACCTTATACTTGCTTCCTAAACAGTAGTATCTCCATTCCTTAAATGCTTTAAGGATTGCTATGAATTCTTTATTGTATATGGGGTATCTTAGCTCTGGTCTATGTAGTTTTTGTGAGAAGAATGCTACTGGATGGTTTTTCCTATTTTCGTCTTTCTATATCAGTACTCCTCCAATAGCAAAGTCTAATAAATCTATTTCAATCTCCAATAGCTTATTGGGATCATACATAATAAGCATAGGTTCACTGAGAAGGGCGTTTTTAAGTTATTCAAACGCTTCTTTTATTTCTGGCTTATACGCGAGTTTCCTGTCTTTTAGTTTCTTCTTGCCCTTCTTATCTTCTTCAAGTCGAGTGGCATCGGTGAGTGGCTTAGTGATCTTACTATAGTTCCTAATGAATCTTCGGTAGTAATTCGCTAGGCCTAAGAAGCTTTGCATTCCTTTTCTTATTTCTGGAAATTCCCAGTCTTAGATTGCTTTAAGCTTGTCTGGGTCTATTTGGACTTATCCTGGTGAGATTAGGTGTTCTAGGAATTTAACTTCTTGAACGTGGAAATGACATTTTTCTAGTTTTACTAAAAGGTTAGCGTCTTATAGTGTTTATAGTACCTTGTGGACGTGTTCTTCGTGTTCTTCAAGGGTTTTCGAGAAGATGAGAATGTCGTCGAGGTATACAATTACAAAGTCGTTAATGTATGCTTGTAGTATATGGTTGATTATTTGTTGAAATGTTGCTGGTGCGTTGGTGAGCCTAAATAGCATAACCAAGCATTTGAATAATCCGTAGCGTGTTCTGAACGCTGTTTTCCATTTGTCCCCTTCTCGGATGCGAATTAGGTTGTACGCTCCCTTAAGATCTAAGGCAGTGAACCAATTTACACCGGTTAGGCGGTCTTAAATTTCTGTAATAAGCGGTAATAGGGTTTAATCCTTAATTATAATCTTGTTTAGCTGTCTGTAGTCAATGACTAGTCTAAGTTTCCCATTCTTCTTTAGTACAAATATAACAGGGTATCCAGCTGGTGATATGGATGGCCTAATGTGTCCTTTTTCTAGCTGTTCTTATATCCATTCTCAAAGTGTCTTGAGTTTTACTTCGCTGAGATTGTAGATTGGAAAGAATTTTGTTGTTTTTCCGTCCATGAGATCTATGCAATAATCCCATTGTAAATAAAGCGGTTGTACCGTTTCCAGTGTTGGACTAAACAGTTTTCTATATTTCCTTCTGTATTGTCGAGGTACTTTTAGGAGAGTTTCTTTTAATTCTCCTAGTTTGTTTTTTTCTTTTGCTTTTAGTAAGGCTTTGTCTAGAGCTTATAATTCTATTTTTATTTATTTAATGATTTGGTTGATGCGTACTTATTTTCCTTTGACTTGTCTGTGGTTATATTAAGGTGGTACTAGCGATTTTTCTGTATTGAATCTGACCTTTCTTCTAGGTTCCGTTCTTGTTTTTTCTGTTTTTTTTTTATTTTGTTGCGTATGAGATTTTATTTTTGGGTCTATAGGCGCGTCTTCGCCTTCCTTGCTCTCTCTATGGCTTAGTTATAACTCCTAGGTAATATCTATATCTTAGAGTATTTATTTAGTTTTCCAGTTAATTAGTGGGTTGCCTTGTTTTAACCAGGGGTGTCTAAGTAAAACGTCGCAGTTACCAAGGGGCATAATGTTAAACTTAATAGTCTTAGTATAACTAGCAATTATAATTGGGAGATAATTAGTCTTATAATTAATTGTTATCTTAGCATTGGGTGTGGCGACACTAGACACATATGTAGGTTGTTTTTTTTTAGCGTATGGTAAGCTGAGTAGGTTTACCATTCGGGGGGTGATGAGGTTGCGATCCGCACCACTGTCCATATATGTTATAACCGGGGATTGATTAATATATCCCTCGACTCGTAGTTTCTTACTGTTACTTCCAATTGCGTCAATTTAGATGCTGTCTAAATGGGTTTAGTCCCATTTGACGCTTTAGTATTTCGCGCACCATTAGCACTTCAATTCTTCATTTCAATCCTTAATTAAACAGTGGTATCTCTTAATTAGGGTTTTATTGCCTTGTTTTTAGTTTAAATAATTCTCAAAATTGTAACCTTTTTGTGCCAGTTTTCGGGTAATCCGATAAAATTAGCTTTTCTCTTCTCTGTGTATGCTGCAGTATGTTACTGCGCAGTCTAGGAAGTGGTCTATTGTATATTCTTTATGCTTGACTTGCTTCGGTTGATATTTGTGCCAGTCTTTTAGTTTATTAAAGATATATATTTGGCAGTAGATGTTATTACACCATTTCCAATTGTGTGTTCTACAGTCTTCGTCTAGGGCATTTAGGAGGTCCTGGATAGGGACTTGGTCGTATGCTCCTTAAATGTCTATTTTGTTGAGTCTAATTTGTTCCCGAGCCTCTTCTAGGGTTATCCTGCAAGGTGGGTTTTCATCAAGGTATTATTATTTTTCCTTCTGTCTTTCTTATTCTTTTGCTTGTTCCCCTAGAATATATATGCAGTTATATTCAGGGTTATAGGATCCGCAGATGCGGCATCTGTCGCAGTTGTGGTTAAAGTCTATTAATTCACAGACTTCATATTAGTATATATTTTTTCCTTATTCTTTAATGTTGCAGATGTGTGGTATGTCTATGCTGTTATAGTATGGGCTCCTTTAATATCCTGGGCATTTATGGTTTTTATTTCTGGACTCGCATAGAGGGCATTTGTATTTTCCTGCGTATTTTGGGTATATTATATTATGTCAGGGTTCTAGTGCGCTGCATTGGTGACATTTGTCGCCGTCGGGATCGTTACTGTTATATATGTCTTTAAAGGTAACTAAGATTTTATCCTTAGAGTCCTCTAATTTATTGTTCTCGCACGTGTGATTAATGTTCCATGAGCCGCAAGATAAGCATTTGTAAAGTATATGAATGGAATAAGGTTCTATGGAGCTGCAGTTATTGCATTAGTGTACATTCCTCCTGGTGCTGTTCCTGGTTATGAGGGGCTTATAGTCTAATTTGTTAGTATTGTAATCTTTGCAACTGTTACAGTTGAAATCCCTTGGGTGAGGCTGTTTATAAAAATTAAGGGTGTCAATTCGGACAATCTCATAAGATTTCTTAGCTTATAGTTTCTTTGGGTAGTATCCTAAACCTTCCTTGCTGCTTTAGTGCATAAGACATAAATCGTTATAGCACGCTGTCCAGCTAAGGTAGTTATGGGGTACTTCCGTTATAGCGTCTATCTAGGCCTTGTCCTTAGTAGTCTTAGATTTTGCGTTTTTCTTAGTGTAGCAGTGGGCTTCATTGTGGCCTTTCTTGCTATAGAATCCACAGGTAATCTTAGAACGGTAATCTGCCTCTTTGTGGCCTTTCTTACCATAGGTATTGCAGGTTCTGTTGAACTTCCTTTTGTTAATGTCGTTAATATCCATTTTTCCCAGTTAAGTACCGTTGTCTTTTGCAATGTACTCTTATCGCTTCTTGCCTTAATTGGCTTGTGGTTGGAACCTAGGTAGGGTTCTAGATTTTTCCGCTTTACATTCTTACTTTCGTTTATATTAACGATTGTCGATTTTAATGGCTTCCTTGGTGAATTTGACAAAGCTTATTTTATCTCTGTTAAGTCTAAAGAGTTTATCCTTAACTTCTAGTTTAACGCTTATATAGTAGCGTTCCTTTTTGGATTCTTTAGTCCAGTTGACTTTTTGGAGAAGTCGGTTGAAGGTTGCGGTGTGTTTGAATAGAGGTCCTTTTTAAATTAGGGCTTGAAGTTATTTCTCAGCTTCTTATCGTTCATTTATAGTTCCGAAAGCCTTAACGAGTTCGTCCTTATAGTTTTAGTATTCTTTAAAGATATGTTTAATTTCTTTCTTTAAGTCTTTCCAATTGGGGTTTGCATTCCAGTCCTTTATATAGGGCCTGAACCATTCTTCAGCTGCTCCTATAAGGCAACTAGCTGCAAAGTGGACTTTGTCTTCGTCGTCTGCTAAGGTAGTGGTGAAGTATCTGAAGTAGGTTTCCACTTCGTTAAAGTACTTCTCCCTGTCGCCGGGGTTTCTATCATAGTTATCTGGCCGTTTAGGTCGGACAATTTCTCCCTTTTCCTTGGTGCGACGGGCGTTTAATTGTTCTTTTTATTCTTCAATAGTGGTCTTTTGTTTATTTGCCAGTTTCTCCAGGGCCTCAATGCATGCAAAAAGAGCGTTGATTGCCTGCTGTTCCGGGGTGAGCACCGGTGGTAGTGCCTGTTGTGGGTTAGCAGGGGGATCCTAGTTCATTGGGTCCGCTGGTAGTTGAACGTTGGCTATTGTTATAATATTACCCGTAGGTCTGGTAGCCGTCCGAACAAGAGTTATTAACATGTGACGAACCATACACTAGATAGTTAGTAATACAAGGGCTTCCCAAGAGACAAACCTAGAGTTTAGTTCTGGGTTTATGTTAGCGGAGCGATTAGGAGATCTTCGGGCAATGTAAACAGTAATAACAAATGTCACTAGATAGTAAGCAGTGCAGAGCGTGTTGCAATCTTAATTCTGTGTTAATAACTAGCTATCTAAGTTATCTAAATAAGCGTGGTAAAGTAAACTTATATATCCAGTTGAGGTTTCTGGATTATAGTGGAAAGCTGTCTTTCCTAGCTTTCCTTGGTGTTAAGGAAAGCTAGCTTTCCTGGCTTTCCTTGTTTAGTGAGCGTGGGCTTTTGATTGGTCAACGGATTATAGTTAATCCGTTCCGTCCTACCCTGTAGGCCCGTTGTGACGACCATAAGTGTTGGGTCGTGACAACCTTGGACATTTAAGCGCCAGCTTTTTTTTAGTCCCCACACACACTTTAACAAGCGCTTTACTTACAGCCTCCTAATTCTACAAGCTACTAACCAAATTCATTCAACAGCGCTTAAAAATTTAGTCTCAATCTCTTTTCTAGCTATATTTTTCACTATAAATAATACAGTTACCCTCTTCAAAAGACTTTCCAAATACCAACCTCAATAAATATATTAACAATGACAAACGCTGCCAATGCACATGTCCCTCCTAATTACCATATTCAATTTCTCCAGCAGTTCACGATAAAAGAACATACAAGACTTGCCCAACCAGAAGCATTAACAGCCAAACAGCATGCAGTTCATAGAAAACAGCTACGCACTACCCAGTCACTCCAGCCCTGCTATGCAGACGAAACCAAAATCAATCTCACCAGCCTGTCAAGGAAATGGAAAAAGTATAGATGTTATTCAATTCCAGCTTTTACCAAGGGACTATTGGCTTATTATTTTGCAAGGTACTGTACCAAGATTTTACAGACTGAAGACAGCAGATCCGCAATTAAAAACCTCGAGCGCGAAACTACAATGGATTTTTTATGCTTTATTTGTGAGAAGTATAAGATTAAATCTTGGGGTACAATGGCTCAATACATACGCCAATTTCAACAACTTTACCGGTTGATTACCGGCGAATATATGGATCGAAATGACAGCGAGGAAGTTTATAAGGTATCGCAAATACTACATTGACAATTCATTTACTCCAAGATTTGTTACTAATGGATTGCGTGTAGTACTTCCGCCAGGTCTTGATTCCCCGTTTTAAACTTCATGCTCCGAATATTGAGGGCAAGCCTGTCCTTAATGTTGACACGCTGCGGGTTCTTTTGACCTTTAATATCGGATATGACAACAGGAGTTTGGCACTTGGGCGGCTCCGCCTACAGCTAAGTGCATGCTACCAGCTTTTGTGCTATACTGGAGTGCGACCCGCAGAGCTGGTGGAAGCTCAGCGAAAGCGGCCAACTGACGGGTCTTATGAAAAACTTTTTAAACGCAAGACCATCCAGTCAGCTGATGATGATGATGATGATGATGATGATGACTCGTCTGAAGCAGCAGATGCTTCATCTGTTGAGGTCAATAAGCTGCTTTTGCAAGAGCCTATTACTCGCGACCGCCCCAAGGCTCTTTGTTACGAGGACATTCTATTTTCAATAATCCGCCACCCTGCCACGAAGCAAACTATTCCTGCCATGGCTATTAAGTTCACCCACCACAAAGGAGCGGATAAAAAGCCGAAGCCGTATGTGTCTTTTCAATATGTTTCCACTGCCTACATATCACAGCATTAGATTAACCTGACTGGCCTTAGGACTATATTCTTCTTTACGCCAACTAATAAGCTAATATTTGACGTGATTCTCACTATTGCTGCCTTGGCATTGGCTGACAAAGCATTTGCGGCAGAGAGTATAACTGATGCACAGTCCCTGTTTCAGAAAAGCCCATGGGGCAAACGGGACGGTATTGCGCTCCGATGGAAACAAGACATGCTCAAGATCCCGATATTTCGTCGAATTCGGAACTCGGCTCTCTCTCCCAATGAGGCAATGTTGTACTCTACGCTTAATGAGGAAATGGGCCAGCAGAGCCTTGACACAGGTCACGAAAAGAAGTTGACACCAAGATCTGCTCGAAGAGGTGCTGGTAACGCTGCTAATGGTAAGTCAATTTCACACGATGCTCGACTACATGTAGCAAGAATGGTCTAATGTTGATGTCTTTGCTAACACTGGGCCTGAAAGGTGACGCTCCTGATTCTGTCCGTGATCAAATGATGCGCCATGATCCCAAATTTGCGACATTCTTCAACGCTTACCTCAATGAAAATGCCAAATTCGATCTCCAGAATGCTTTCCTAGAGGAGGAAAAGGAAGTCCAGCTATTCCGAATGTTTGCACATGTTAGTTTAACACGCGACCCACGAGCCGTGAGAGATATGGTACCAAAAGAAGTGTGGGAGGCCGCGCCCCCAGACCCAGAGATTGTCAAGTTGGAAGAGGAACGCGACTCTCTCAAGCAAGGCCTTAGCCGTATTGAAGGCAGTGCAGATGAGGGAAGAATCCGACAGCTCACTAGCGACATTCGACTTAAGAGAGCCCAGCGCGAGAGAAGAATCGTGAAGCAGTTCCGCGAATACTACTTCCAGCATCGTCCGACCTGGGACCTTGAGGCACAAGCACGAGGAGAGGTAGAAGAGCCTTTGGAGGAACCAAAATTGCACTCTACCATTGCCGAGCGAGCAAGGCTGGCCCATATTCTTTGCCATCAGCCCGAAAACTGGACCAATGAGGAGATCCTACAGCGTAGGATTGAAGCCGTCCAATTGATGGTAGACTTTTGCAATAAGAAAGAGCCGAGAAATATCCTCCAGGCCCAGCTAAGAACCCAAGCCGAGCAGTCTGTCAAGGAAGAACCGAAACTGGTCACCATCTCCGAACTTGAAACTAACATCTTTTCGATGCTTATGAAAACAAGTCAATGTCCTAGCTGTATTGGAGACAGCCAAATGCCTCTCAAGGAGAGGACATTCGAGTTCTGTAGGGACACAGTTAGGAATGACCACTGGGACGACAGGCACTTGCCAGAATTAGAGCGTGCTGAGCAGCGTGCTGAGCCGATTATCTGCAAACACCCTGCGTGCGGAGACCAGAAGTTCAAGCATCTGAATCATTTCAGGGCCCATGTTAAGTCTGACCATGGGATATCGCTTAGATCACAAGACCAGGTCCTGCGCAGGCGGTTAAAAAAAGCAAAGCATCGTCAGATGGTTGTGAAAACATAGCATCGACAATAACAGTTAACTTGGTCTGGTAGAGCCTTTGAGAGGGGCACAAATCGTGTAGACTCCAGCTGATGATCTTCCAAGATAGAAGCTGTGCAGCACTTTCAAGATAAAATACTATATCTAGTGACTTTAATTTCCTTCGGGGTTTTCTCTCAGCGCAATGGATTTTATTACAGATCGAGCGATCACTAATATTTTCGCTATTGAGCTGTTTATCGGCACCAGCGTATTTATTTCCATATTAACCACGGAAATGGAGCACCTTGCATACGTTACGCTGCTGAGACTCATCTAGGGTGTTGGGAGGATTGTTAGACTCGTTGTTCGTGGCGGTTATGCGGGCTTACTGGCTACCCGAAGGCAGAAATTTCACACCAACTTGTGTATTCATTGGCGCGCCTATATGAATATCTTTGCTTCCCTCACACGCTCGTTGGCCGGGCGTACTATTTCTGACTGGATTTCACCGCTACGACTATACAAGGGTGTTATTCAGCCTGACATTCAGATTCTGTCTGGTAATGGGCATCCGCTTGGGAGGTTCGCGGTATGTGTTGAACTCCGGACGAATCGTGGCTGTTGTTATTCTCGGCGGTATTTTCTTGATTGGATTTGTTGCATAACAGTGACTCACCATGGAATTTGATAAACAAAGCTGACTTCTGAAACTAGAATTCTTCAATTCACAGGTATTGACCGTGTTATATCTCAAGATATCAGAGATCCTTATGTATGATACCATGAAAACAATGCTGGCAGGTCCAATATCAAAGTAGCTAGTAACGAAAAACCCTTGTCTTGTACCATTGAAACTGGTTTTGAAAGTCTCGTGGTGAAACCTTCCAGCGGCTTCCAGTGATTAACGAGGCACCACTGGTTATATGACGCTGTTGTTGAGACACGCATTAGTGAAAATGATTCGTAATGCATATTATAAATGCTGTATCCTTGCAAGTGCATCTCGGATAGACCGTAGATAGACTCTTGAGCTTTGATACAGAGAAAAAACTGCCGCTGGTGGAGGTTAAGAGGAAGAGCGGGTCAAAAGCGGGAAAACGGGCATTTCTCCGTTTCAATGGATGGAGCGGCCGCTGTAGCACGGCCCCGAGTACGAATGCAGAAAGGCTAGGAGCAGTAGCGTCTGCATACCAAAGAAGTAACAAGTTCTTAAACGAGTTAGTAACCTCGCCTGTCAATTGTTACGAACGTACGGAGCACTCTTTGTGACACCAGCACTTGCGCTTAATTTTGTAAGCGCGAAGTTATGTCGTACGTTCGCAATAGTTGCCAGGAGAGGTTACTAACTCGTTTAAGAACTTATTACTTCTTTGGTATGCGAAGTTATGTATGCGTATACTGATCGCGTCATATGCGTTTGAAGCGGCGATATGAGAGCAAGTCAATACTGATGCGATTGGTAAGACAGTCTATAGCAGTAGGGTTGGATCATAAGAAGCCTCAATAGATTTCTATATAAAGCGATGTGTTTCTCAATACCCAGCTTCAGTCCTGTACAAGACATCATCTCCTTCTTACCAGCCAATCAGTTTTCAATTTCATCCTCTGTGGTGGAAAGCCCAATATTAAAAAATTTTTACAAGCCTCTATTTAAAAACAGCAAAGCATCATGAGTTTGGATCTTAGATACTCAGACGCTACGGCGCTTGCCGAGCTGATTCGCACGGGCAAGGTGTCTGCCGTAGAAGTTATGCAGGCTCACCTCGACCGCATAAACTCTCTGAACTCCCAGCTGAATGCTATCGTCACCGTTGACAAGAATGCATTGGAGAATGCTAAAGCCGCGGACGCAGCAGTGAAGTCCGGTAAACAAAACCTCGGCCCCCTTCACGGCGTTCCCTTCACTGCGAAAGATTCAATCGATACTGCAGGCGTGGCAACGCAACGCGGCTCGCCAATTTTCGAAGGCCGTGTGCCTTCGTCCGACGCCGTCACCATTGCGCGGATGAAGGCCGCCGGCGCCATTTTGCTTGCGAAGACCAACCTTCCGGAATTCTCATACGCCTGCGAAAGTGAGAATCTCCTTACAGGCAGGACAAATAATCCTTGGAACCTAGATAGGACGCCAGGGGGCTCCAGCGGCGGAGAGTCGGCGGCCATTGCTGCCGGACTCTCCCCTATTGGTTTGGGCACCGATCTTTGCATCTCATTACGAGGCCCATCTGCGATAACAGGCATCATGGCGCTCAAGCCAACCCACGGGCGTGTCCCTATGACAGGCATATGGCCACGGGAGCCTCGCCGGTTCTGGCACACGGGGCCGATGGCGCGAAGCGTTCGTGACTTGGCTCTGGCATACTCAGTGGTTGCTGGCCCCGACGGGCAAGATGCATTTTCGTCACTGGGAGCCAATTACGATGCTGGAGTCGGAGCGACGCCCAAACGACAGCTCAAGGTCGGCTGGCTAGTAGAACCAGGGTTTGGCGCCATCGATCCCGAGGTTGGCTCGACTGTCCGTGCTGCGGCCGAGGCTCTCAAGGCTGCAGGCTGTGACGTCGAGTCTGTCCGCATCCCGGCACTAGAGAAAGATTTCGCCCTGGACGTATTTTTACTCATTCATGTTAATGAGATGAAACCCGGTATGATAGAGGTTACCAAGGGGCAACCCGAAGAAAAGATTTTCAAGAATGCCCGTGGCATGTTGAACACTCCCGACACACCAATGGCCGATTTCGTTGATGCCGAACAGGCAATCGAGAGGCTCAAGGACGGTTTTGCTGCATACTTCCAGAAGTATGATGCACTTGTGTGCCCTGTGATTCCGGTTCCCTCGCATGGACACGCGATTGAAGAGCTCACGATTGACGGCCAAACTGTCAGTAACGTCAACATTTGTTCGACCACCACGCCTTTCACTGTAACGGGGCTACCGGGACTTTCCATCCCATTCGGATCAAGCCATGACGGCATGCCAATTGGAGTCCAGCTTGTCAGTAGCTGGTACGCCGAGTCCACAATCCTGCATCTCGCATCCGTGCTTGAAAAGGTCAGCCCCGTTAAGGGGTTCCACCCAAATATATAATATAAACAGGCTTGTTAGAACAAACTTCGCAGTTGGGAGATGAAGCATTAGAAAAGGAAATTGAAAATTACTTATATCTGGCTAGCTAAACTATCAATGAATAGATTTGTATTATCAACCGCACTTCATTCATGCACATGGCTATAAAGTCCTTCTCTCAGTGAAATGATTACATGTGGCTATAATTCTCGATGGTTAAGAATTTCTGTTCTCTGTGGACAACCTTGACAAGCCCAAGCAAATCGGCTAATTGACCTTTAATACACTAAAATAATAAGTGCACACTACTTAGACACAAGACTAACCCTTCAATTATTTTGCGCCTTTTATCCATAAATTTCGTTCATGAGTTATAGTGGCAAAGCGAACTCTTCGAAAGGAAAATTTTATAACGGTAAGTGAGTTGCCTTTAACTTCTAAGGCCAAGTGGATTAAGCTTATACATCTGTCTCCGGAGACAGAAACCAGCACAGTGATCTTGAGAAAGTCATTGCATCTGCCTCCAGACAAAGAATTTGGCACTTAATACTCTATATATAGCCAACGCATCTGTCTCTGGAGACTGAAAATAAGCTACCTAACCTATCTCAACAAATCGAGGCCACAAAGTATAATAACCAGAGAATATTCAATCTATAAATCCTAAGCAAAAACAACACTTTAAAGCAATTACTTATAAGCGCCTGAATGTAATATATTAGCTACTAGTAATACTTCACTAATCAAGCACTCTTGCTTTAGCAATAACCTAGTCTACTGCTACAGGAGCCTCAAAACCTATTGTATTATATACACAGGCTTAAACTTTAGTTTAAACTCTTAACTATATAACTAAAACTGCTCGAGAGATCCAACATACATCTTTGCTAACATGAACCCGACTTAGAGCTATCAGTTAGAAATTGCCCTATACCTTAGTATAGACCAGGGCGTCACAGATGCCAAATTGACCGGATAAGGACACATGTAGGCTGTTTGAAGTAGGGTTGGGTATGTTTTAGGACTGGTCGTCAGAAGTAAACCCCCGAGACAGCATTCCACAACCCCGCCTCAAGGGTTCACAAAGATTCCGCGAGCTTAGCAAAGCTAAATCCTGGCACCACGACTATGTACTATTATCCGCATCTTGCGCATGAGTAGGCAGCTTGTACTGGAATCCTGATTGTGAAAAATAACAGTCTCCTTGCGCAGCCATGTAGTATTCCTCTAATACTACATTCTTTTTATACAGCATTCCTCTTATATAATACTTCTTTTATACAGCATTCCTCTTATATAATACTTCTTTTATACAGCATTCTTCCCATGCAGTATTCCTTGTGTAAGTTCTTAATAAAGCATTCTTAATATAAGATAACAATAACAGTATTCTTAAATAAATTCATTCCTCTTATATAATACCTCTCTTATACAGCATTCTTCCCATGCAGCATTCCTTGTGTAAGTTCTTAATAAAGCATTATTAATAGAAGACAACAATAACAGTATTCTCAAATAAATTAGTACTATAGATTTTTATTATATAGCTCCTGAGACTTTGATAGTAGTAAAGTTCAATAGTATAAGGGAGAAAAAAATAAAACTTCTAGTTTAGGGCTTGGGCTTATTGTACACTAAATACCAATTTATTATTGGCTAGAAAAATAAATTAGAAAGGAACTTATTTAATATTAAAGATATTCTTTTAGTATACTTAACAGTAGGCCCGATTTATAACTTTATAGAATGCTACTTTATACCAAGGTAGGCAGGATATTAAGCTACCATACCACAAGTTACCCATAGCTTAGCATTCCTTTTGTTATAAATAACAAGTCTAGAATCAGCAAGATAATAATTGAATATAAAGCGTTTGACCTGCCTGGAGAGAATAATACTTGCCTGGTGGGATTATTTATCCTTATTACACTCCTTTAGTTTTATCAGCTCCTTGATACTTGTTATTGGCTGTTACCACATTCTTTCATTATATCCTTCAGCAAAATGCTTTGTTTACGCTTGCTCGGATCAGCGATTGCCTTCACCAGCGTCGTCAAAGCCCAAGTTAATCTAGGGACCGCCTTGTCATTTGCAGTCCTGGGTGGATCCGCCGTAACCAACACCGGTCCTTCGATAATCAGTGGCAACGTTGGTGTCTATCCTGGGTCAGCCATATCAGGCTTTCCTCCCGGCATAGTCGTCAACGGAGTGATCCATATGACAGATGCAGTTGCAGCGCAGGCACAGGCAGATGTGACAACCGCTTACAATGTAGCAGCTGGTTTACCGCCTAACACTGACCTGACTGGTCAGGACCTGGGCGGTATGACGCTTGTTGCAGGTGTCTATTCCTTCTCTACCAGTGCGCAGCTTACCGGTGCTCTCGTACTTGACGGCCAAGGCGACTCAAGTAGTGTCTGGGTTTTCCAAATAGGCTCAACACTGACCACGGCAACCGCTTCTTCTGTAATTCTTATCGGCGGCGCCTCGCCCTGCAACGTCTTCTGGCAGGTGGGCAGCTCAGCTACCATTGGTACCACCACTACTTTTGTTGGCAACGTGCTGGCGCTCACATCTATCACTTTGGTCACTGGTGCAAGTTCTAATGGAGGGCTATACGCCAGAAATGGCGCTGTGACTTTGGACACCAATAACGTCAACGCCGGGCTTGCCTGTCCAGCTGTGCAACCGACGACAACGACGACAACAATAACTAGTACAACTACTACAACAGCCACAGATACTACTACTACAACAACCACAGCTACTACAACAGCCACAGATACAACTACTACAACATCCACAGATACAAGTACTACAACAGCTACAACAACAGCTACAGATACAAGTACTACAACAACTACAACAACAGCTACAGATACAAGTACTACAACAACTACAACAACAGCTACAGATACAAGTACTACAACAACTACAACAACAGCTACAGATACAAGTACTACAACAACTACTACAACATCCACAGATACAAGTACTACAACAGCTACAACAACAGCTACAGATACAAGTACTACAACAACTACTACAACATCCACAGATACAAGTACTACAACAGCTACAACAACAGCTACAGATACAAGTACTACAACAACTACTACAACATCCACAGATACAAGTACTACAACAGCTACAACAACAGCTACAGATACTACAACTACTACAACAATTAAAACTAGTACAAGAACTTCAAGAACATATAATGCTACAGCAAAAAAAACGGGTTGGAGAACCGCGAAAGATTATAATACTACTGCAATCAAAACAGGTTCAAGAACAGCAAATATTTACAATACCGCAGCAATCACAGCAGGATCAAGAACTACAGAAATTGGTAATGCTGCAGCAATGAAAACGGGTTCAAAAACTATAAGAATTTATAATACTGCAGCCATTGAAACAAGTTCAAGGACTGCAAGAATTTATACTACTATGAAAGATATAAACACTGCATCAGTAAGGTTTAGTACAGCTGTTACAACAACAAGGGGCAAGCCAACCAATGTTACAGCTACTATACTAAATATGGCCACCACTTTTCCAACAAGTGTCCCCGCTATAACATTTACTGCAACATGCTCTATAGCTCCAACAATTATAACATCCTACGGCCAACACTTCTTTGTTGAAACTCCCTGTACTACAGTCTTAACAGCTACAGTGAGCGCCGCTTTTGAAAAGCCAGCACTTTGCAAGGACTGTGGTACTCTCACTGCCAACAGCGGTGCGCATACGAAGTCTTCCAGTAAGCTGTGTCCGACCTATTCTCACGAGGCAATCCCAGTATCGCAGGTAGACGAACCAGCGTCGGAAAGCACGGCCTACTTTCAGCAGAACGAGACTCTTGTATCTATGCCAGCAGTTTCCAAAAGCCCGGTAATTGTAACTGCTGGTGTGAGTATGAATTGGCCAAATCTTACTGTTATTACAGCTGCCTTATTTTTTCTTCTGATTCTTAATTAAAATTACTCTAAGAGATATAAAACTTAATAGAGATTATAATTTAACATCTTATAGTTGTATTACAACCAAGTAAGCAGTTGAGGGCTATATTTTGGTGCTGTATGCAGTGTTTTCCTTCAGCTTGGTGTTCTTGTTTAATTCAGAATCGCTGCCACTTACTACTTTCCTTTATTTCTCAAAGATGGATACCCGGTTGCCGATTATGTACTGCCATGTACTACCCTTGGAACGCTGCTCCTAGTTTTTGGTATATTTCTTTGTGCTTATGTTGTGGGGAGTAGCACCGAAGAAACTACTTACCGTCCGGAGGCTGAGAAATAGGCTCGAGTTGTCTGGCTGCAAAAAAGCGGAATTGTCAACAACCAGGCTTTCGAGTCTTATGCCGTTTTCCTAAACAAGGCATTGCCTTTACTTTCGACTTCCAGGAGAGCGCAAAAACAAAATCTGAATAACTTTAAATATAAGAAGGAAAGTTCTAAGCCAGTAAATTCAACGTCTTAAACAGAGTCAGTAAAGAGGACATGGAACTAGTTTTAGGAATTTAAGCCTAAAGAAGTAATAACAGTTACCAGTATATTTATTTGCCTTGCTAGATTTGTTATGCAGTTTATTAGCCTGCGTAATATGCACGAGTTAGCGTCTATTGCCCAGCTTGTAGCAGTAATCCTAATGACTGTGCTTATAGCATGGGTGCGTTACAATCTAGTGCAGCTTCCTGTTACAACCTAGTCCTCCGTAACTACGAATTCCTTATAAGCAGCTGGTTCCGTTACAGTAACTGCTACAATAGTGGTTATTAGCCTTATTTTTTCCTTGTTTAGCTTAACGGTATAACAAATCGTTACAGTCAAGGCCTTTCTGCGGCTTTTTATTATAAGTGGCATCTTTCAACATAACTTATGCCTATATAACTTCAAAGCTCTTTAAGCCCGCTTTTTTAGAAGGATAAACTTTGTTCAGTTGCTGAAGCTGGTTTCTCCGAGGCCTACATTCGATGCCGAGTTTCGGATAGGCTCAGGCTGGTAGGGCACGCTCGAGAAGTACAAGTCGCTGGTTGTAATTGAGAATGGAGAGATGAGTCGTGAAGTCTCGCGCCTGCAAGAAATTCTGCCGAGTTTTGGAGTATCCTAAGATACCGCTGAAAAGTACAGCCAGCATAAAATCTGGCCGCTCATTAATATGTCCTTCTTCGAACAACGCCACCGACAGCCCAAAATAGCAATTATAATACCTCATCTACACATCTTTGAGCACTTGTAGCATTAAGGTCTGAAAGCAAACACTCGAGCGAGCGATACTATGAAGTTGAGATGCCAGCGAAGCTAGCCTAGGGTGTAGGATAATTAAGATCTATGGATATTATGAGAACGGTGATGTTGGCTTAATAGTCGATGACGGGCGATTTGCAGATACGGCAGCCAGGAGCTATAAACACGGAACTCATACAGATAGTTATAGTGGCCTTATACTTTATTTTCTATGCCACTTAAAATGACATAGCATCAGTTATTCATTCTCTAGTCATCGTGCTATTTTAACATTCTGCCTAATTGTTCCTATGCATTAGGAGATTATACATGTAAAGTGCTTTTTTATCTTTTCTTTCAATAAGACTTGTACCCTCTAAATTTAATTTATATGAGTCTGCTGTTGAGCTCCCCCCCGGAAGCTTTCTTGCACTTTCTCTCCCCTGTGCTCCTCGCCAGCCCTATTCCTTATTTGTTGGTGTTGCTCTTCAAACCAGGAGCTCAAGGGTTTGTTATGAAACATAAGATCCTCGTTGTTAATAACAGTAGGTTGGATCCAGATGCCGGCTTTTCCGCTGGAGATAGCTTTAGAAGACTTCATGGTAGCTACTTAAAATATAGTAAAGCGGTTTAATTTGTTACTTGAGAGGAAAAATAATACATTTCCCATCGGCTTGTGACACATATATGTGTGTGAGTGGCAACAGTTAGCGAAAGACTTACCAACGAGCTGCGCCTATTTTCGCGTAGTCCAGGCTAGAGGCCTTACCCAAACCCATCGTCATCTATCATATAGTCTGAGAGCCTACTCAGTAGCCCTATCAGTATTTGTCCGCTGATTGTTTTAGATTTAATTTGCCACCACTCCGAGGCTAATTCCCCCCGCACGCCTCTGCCACATTGGTCATGCCACCATGATGCACCTAAACACTGGCAGACCTAGCATAGGCGGCAATTACTTATGCACCTTAGACTCATTCAGGAAGTTGTCCAGTACAAAATGATCGTTTTTTCTATTGCTGACTATATGAAAAGGCAAGGAAGTGAGGTCCTCGCCAACCTAGTACAGTAGTAGAATGCGTGTGGGTCTGTTTCCTAGATACTGCAACTCTCTGGCCCTCATTTGCCATTGCCTTTCCTTTCTCCTCTTTCTCCTTCTAGCTTCCTGTTAGAAGCGGCGAGGGATAATTACACGAGGGGTTGGTGTAGCAATAGCGGAGATGTTGACTTTCGTCTTAATTCCAACACCCTTTTAAACACATCTAAAAAGAATCAAACCATCAGGTTTATGTTTTGAAGAAACTATTGAGCTAGATAGAAATGGTCAGTGGACTTATGTCGCCTTTGACCTCTGAGACAGCTTGGCACTACGTCGTTCTATTGTGCAACAATGTTAAGCTAGATCTGGTTGGTTGACGGAGGATACTCCGTGAGCCCCACTTCTGTACTCAAGGGGCTGCCGGTGGCTGAATATCGAATAAGCTCAGACTCCCCAAAAAACCAGGTACTTGCTCATGCCCCTTTTATTTCCCCTAACTAGTTCCCGTGCCACTTTCCAATGCCTTACCGCTAGCCCCACCCCGTCATAACTATTCCGCCTCCACGGCCGGGATTTGTGAACAAAGAGATTCTGGTGACCGTATCGCGATCTATTATCGGTGTACTAAACGCGTGGACCCACGGTGAATGTTTGGGGCTGGCTCATCACATTATACGATGCTCGGCTGAGGCGATAATTCTTAAGTGTCATGAACGCAACTCTCTCACGGCTTGGAAGTAATATCCAGCCTGCTGTCGTGGTGGATGACTCTGACGCCAATGCAATCCGGGACCAAATATACATCACACAGGACCTTAATTGCGGCATTAAAAGAAAAACGGTGCGGTATTGGTGGTCGGTATTCCAAATCGACTCTTCCGAGCGTAAAGTTCTGGGCGGTGAACATCTGAACAAGGCTGGCCGTTGGCTACGGCTATTGCACATTGTGCACACAGTCTTGAATTCGAGTCTACCAAGAAGGGGCATCCGTGTATTGAGGCATGGGCGCAGCTCTTATTGGAAAGTGATGTTGTTCCTTGCGTGTAATTGCACAGCTGGTCGCTGCCCTCGAGAAAGAGAGAATACATTAATGAATTGCATGAAGCGTCAACCCCTGCCATTTGGGTTATAGAGCGCGTTATAAGCTGATAAACGCCTAGGTGAAATATCTACTTATAAAATAGATGAGAGAGAAAAAAAAGGGGGGGAGGGGGTGATGGCGCTGGAATTTCTTATGTTCATGGAGTTAAGTTGCACTCACAGATCGCAGGGGCCGATACGAATAAAAATATGACGGTTGATCTACGAGGCTATAGAAAAGCTACTTAGGAGGAAAATCACCGTTAGACGGGCCCAAGTGGGAGCTAAATATGAGCGCTATATAAGTAACATACGGTTTATAATAGCCACAGGTCGTCTTGATAATTAATTCTCATTACCTTCAACCCATACCTTTTATTTTACCTTATGCTACTTTAAGCTAGCATTACTTTAGCTACTGTAGATAGGATATTGAACACTTAGAGAAATAACTCCAAGCTAGCCTGTAGATCCGTAAAGAGACAGGATATTAATAGTAAAGAGCCGAAAGTAGATTATGCTAAGACATAGGCCACTATGAGGAAAAGACATAACTTGAGAGCCATTAATGTAACACAGATTGATAATTGCCCCTATTGGAGGAGACCACCGGGCGTAATAATGTGTGTGTGTGTGTGTGTGTGTGTGTGTGTGTGTGTGTGTGTGTGTGTGTGTGTGTGTGTGTGTGTGTGTGTGTGTGTGTGTGTGTGTGTGTGTGTGTGTGTGTGTGTGTGTGTGTGTGTGTGTGTGTGTGTGTGTGTGTGTGTGTGTGTGTGTGGTATTAACGCAGGTATGACATAGCACGGTTCCTAATCTTTTCCCAATACTTCTTATATACAGCGATGATATGACGGAACCATCTTGAAGGTGTATGCTGGGTTGACTTAGAGCGATGTAGTTGTTTATTACCGTAATCCATTCTGCCGTCATCCACCCGGCCGTCCTCCACCCTGGTATGTCTATAGGAAACCGCTTGTGGGGCATCTTGAGTTATGCTTGGTTGAGCATGAGTGTGGAGGGGAGAAGATGTATGTTGTTCAAGTTCGTGCTGCATAGGACTAACTGAGTCGAGAAAGGGGCCGAGGAGGGAATCGTTCATAAGGTTGTAAACACCATTGAGAGACTCATCTAGCTCGGAAGGGTGAGGGGGCTGGGGTTTATACGAGAGATTTATAAGGTGACCCCGCTCACGATGAGAGATGTTTATTTGTCGTGGCCCACAAGAGATAGGTGTTAAAGGCACGTAATGTCCATGGCGGTGGAGAGATATTCAAGAGAACCTCTCTAAGGGTAGGTCGTCGTGGGTATATCGTATCCATTCCGATAAAGATTTGTGTAGAGTTGCCTGTGTGTAGTAGGCCTAGGTCATAGATTCTTTAGTTGAAGAAAGTTGAAGAAAGAATGAAATAAGGAAAAAAAAAGAGGTAAATAGTCTTGTGGTCTAGATCAGGAGTATGTGTGTGTTTGACGAAAGGTTAATGAATGTGAAGGGAAGTGTTTTCTACTCTTAATAGCGAGTAAGCCTGGCTACCTGGGCAGTGGCATGTATAGCCACCCAAGGCTTGGTGATTGGGTGCCTAGGCCCCTAGTGGCAATATGTAGCGCCAATAAGAAAACGCTATTTTGAGCATTAGCGAATGCACTAGGAAAAAGACGTAGTGTGACATCACCTTTGAATCAACTAAAAATGCTAGATTCAAGAGATTGCAATTGATGCGATTACATAAGCCTAAGGTTCGCCTTCAGACTTCGCTGAGAATGATATAACCCACTTAATTTCTGGATCATTTGGGAATAATAACTAATCAAGACTTACGTTTTACAGTAGTAGAACAAATTTATCAATCAGTTTGTTGTCGTATAGAGCCGATTCCTGCACGATGGCGGATCCCGCTGCGGGGGAGACCAGGCAGGTGGGGCCGGGGCGCCCGCAAGCCAAAACGATCAATGCGTTTAGTGAAGTCGACCGCGAACTTCTGTCATCCTGTGAAGAACCCAGGAAACCAGACCAAATCACCAGTCATGTTAATCATTGGTAGGTTGTGGTGGATAGACAACCCACTGGGACACAGTGCCGAATTAGAACCCTGTAGTAAGAGTCGAGACCGATTCTCTTGAGGGTAAACTATCGCACAAAGGACATTGGAACTGTCAGGCAGTTGACAGATAACCTGAAAGCTGAAACTCGCTTCCGCATGGTTGTTGGGCTGGTAATGCAAAAGACTGGCGGTCAGGTAACTCGATGGTCGGAACTGCTCTCTGTCTTATGTGTGAACAGTGTGTTTGGGCATAGAGGACTATTCGCATTCAAGTGAACATCATCTATATCATCCGCCACCACGAAGCCAAGCGATCCACGACCGAGAATATAACGTCGCTCGCTTTCTGCTTGCCAGGCCGAGTCAGATTCTGTACAAATATCTCGCCTATATTCGCTAATCTGTAGACTTATTGTAAAGAGAGCGCTACCAGTCTGGATGAGAGTCTGATTCAGAGATACTTGGCGGCTCACAGTTAATGTTTCGAAATCAAAGCAGACCTAGTAGCAAAGCATGGTCGCCTTCGCGATTCAATGACGCCCTTAAAAGAGAAACACGAAAAAGTTCGGGGCAAATTGGTCAATTCAAGCATAATGTGACAACCGCGAATTGGCATAACGGAAAAGCACGTACGTGAGACATACCCTCCTCGAAACGCAATTTCGCCCACCAAAGTGGGCATCGGCCACGCCAGCGCGGATTCAATTATGGTTTAAAGGGCGCATTTCCGACAACATTACAGCCGCAGCTGCTTGAACTGTATGAGTGGGAATCATTGAGATAGGATGAGTGCGTGGCCACTGACAATAGCATACTCGAAGCGTCCAAGCGGCATACGGCCTACAGTTCAGCTGCCTCCTCCACCATTATTCAAGAGTCTGCAAAACAGTCAGAGTCAGATGTCAGAACGCTACGTTGAAGCGAAAGCTTTCGCATTCTTGGACTCAGCAGCCGTTGCGTTATCATGAGCCACGGATTGGACATGCCGAAGTATCAGATGTGTTGTCGCCGCATCCGAAACGACATCTCATGAACATACAATTCCTATGCTCACAGACAAAGCAGATACGGCGGGCCTTGGGACACTCCCCATCGATCGCCAAGCTTCTGCCATTTGGCTACAGTTCCATTGGATGCCTAGAACCCAGCTCGATTACAGGCACCACGCGGAGCTGAATATAGACACCATTCAAAAATGTTGCAGAATATTCCTCCAGAAGAGAACGATGCATCCGCTCGCAGATCTCGCCGTTCTCGCTGCCACTTCCATTGCCACTCATCACTTCACATGATAGAGTCCGAATCATTGTCGAGCATGCTGCGATGCGAAGATTTTATCCCACATGGGCAAGGCCAACGCGGCGGTGGCCGCCGCTAACATGAGGTCCAGCTACGGAGCTCTCAGGCTTGTCATTTTGGCGGGAATCTGTGGCGGCGTGCCGTATAATGGCTAAAACGAGATGTTCTTAAGAGATGTAGTTATTAGTAAGTCTGTTATGCAATATGATTTCAGCAGAAACTATCCTGATGGGTTTATGCGCAAGAACACAGATGAAGAAATTTAAGCAAACATGATAAAAAGTATTCGCAATTTCTTAGCGAAATTTAATACAAGCAGCGGTCAAGATAAGCTTTAAGAATAAATAGCTCCAAGAAAATGCTGTAAATGATCATAATAAACGTAGATATCCTAGGACAGCTGAGGACAAGCTATTCGAGTCAAACTATCGTCATAAGCACCACAACTCAGTGGCGTGCACCTGCAACAATTGCCACGGAAGAAAGGATCCAGTATGTGATGAAGCCCTTAGCTCGTCGTGCAATAATTTGGTATGTGATGAAGATTATCTGGGGGTGAGAAAACGACTTAAGAGCATGACAAGCAAGACAAGGCGCAGGACCCTAGCGGTAAGGCATTGGAAAGTGGAACGGGAACTAGTTGGGGGAAACAAAAGGGGCATAAGCAAGTACCTGGTTTTTCCGGGGAGCCTAAGATCTGAAGCCCGAGCTCTTTCACGGAATGTAGGGATTTTGTGGCGCAGTGGGTCAAGCACAAAGGTGGCCTAGAGAGAGGCCGCGGGTTCGGACTTGCCATGACAAAAACGGTCCAACAAAAAAGCTTCGGCTCGTGACACTTGGACAATATTCTATTTCATCCATGGGTAGGGTTAGATCGTGCAGTGGCATGCTTTCCGCCAGTTGCTCTTCAGCTAAAGCTTGACGCTAATAGGAGTAAAAAATAAGAAAAAAAGGTATAAGAACCGTGGCGTTGTGATATGGTAGTAGGACTCTTTCCTGTAACCGCCGTTCCGCCATGGCCACGGCTGCACGCTTAGCGGCACACAAAAAACAGAAAGAAAGAAAAAAAAAAAACAAATCGTAACGCGTTGGACGGGACGGAAAGAACTTCGGCCGTACAAGTACGAACTAGTATGCGCAGCCTGGGAGCCTGGCAGAGTAAATACATACCACTAGTCCCCAGATACCGAGCAGTCTCGAACTCGTAGAAGTTGATCAGTTCTTAAGGCGAATACCAACAGTAACCGGCTTACTACCAACGTGACGCGCACGGATGCTCAATCATATGGGACCGTACTCAATGCTCACCTAAAAAGAATGCGTAAATTGGCGCCAAAGACAAAAGGAAAAGCGCGCTTCGTGCGCGTGCAGCTGCCATCTAACCTCCTGAGTGGACAAGAAAAGCCATTGCGAGGGCTATCAGGTACATCAGTTATCACCCCGCTTCAGGCTCTCCATATGGTTAATATAACAACCATCTAGGCTTAGCCGCTATAGAAATTCCGTTGATTGGACACGATCATCATTTAACGCCGGAAGTGCTGAAGTAAGGAAGACTTTGCGTGTGATACTTGTACGTCTTGTGTGACGAGCGAACGCATATTGCTAAACTAGCGCGCAAACTATCACAAAGAAAACGCACAAGCTTAAAGCTTGTGTTGCAGAGTAGGTGTGATAAGACGCTCAGAGACGGCTTGGAGCCTGGGGCCTCCCCCACCACAGCATTAAGCATCATAATCCGTTCTCTATACTAACACAGAGTACTCCGTACTTCATACACAGTTATGTCTCCACCCTTGCCGCGACTTAGCTACATATGTGTGTTCCGCCTGCCGCGCGCCGTCTCTAGTGTATAAGTGGCCGAAAGCTCTTCTTACGGGATATTTTTATCTGCTGCGGTTCTGTTTCTGCTGGAGCTGGGCGCTGACTTGGTGGTCCTGCTGGGCTATATAACTCGATCGATTTCAGTACTCCGGCTTCCACTTGCAATACCATCGCTTTCGCACAGAATCTCCACTTCCCACTTCCCATTTCAACTCGACTTACTTCAGCTTCCATACCAACCTCGACTTGGACCCTAATTTGATCTTGAACCTAATATTCAACTTTACATTTCGACCTCGACCTCGATCAGACGTTAATCCCACGCTTTTCCCCAGACACTTCTCCCCAGACGCTTTCCCCAGACGCTTTCCCTTCACCACTTCCCCTTCACCACTTCTTTCCAATTATAACTCCAAGCTCAAACTCATAGTCAACTCAACTTCAACTTTCTCCCGCTGCCGTCTCCGTATCCGTGATCAACGACCTACAGCCTTATCTTAGGTAATAAGCTGCCGGCTTGTGGCATCCAACTATCTCCGATAGCTCTGCTCGTGGCCCTGGTAAGTCTTGATTTATTCTTTGCTTCCTCACTCTCCACTTACGTTCTGCACACTCAAGTGCAGATACATACACCCTCTCTCTCCATATTTCCCCTTCTCTTCTCTCCTCCTCCTTTTCCTCCTCCTCCTTCTCCTCCTCCTCCTTCTCCTCCTACTCTCTTCTTTATTTCTCTCTATTTATCTCTCCCACTCCTATATTTCTCTCTACTTTTCTCACTCGCCTCTCTCACCTCTCTCCCCTTCTCTCTCAACTTTTGCCGGCGATCCCGACAACGTCCTGCTCCCTCTCTATCTCCCTGCTGTCCACTTGCACATGGGAGAGCATTAAGTTAAATCATGTATATAGCACTAGCGCTGACACTAGCACTATCCATCTCGCATAGGCACACGCTGTTTATTCACACGCTGTACACGCAGAACAATACCCTGCGAGCCAGCCACCAAAGTAACCAATTCAACTGCAATGGCCAGCCAAACACCATTGCACCCTACATTCAAGGGGCATGTAGCTACCACCTGGGACGCTCTCCTCCTGTTTGAGTCATGCTTGCAAGGTCATATCAACCATGCCTCCCGACCGCCAAATGATCGTGAGCGCCAAGAGCTCATTTCGAGCGGCAGCATCTTCATCTATGAAGAGCACGCTTCCGGCATAAAGCGCTGGACAGACGGTATATCTTGGAGTCCAAGCCGCATCCTCGGCAATTTCCTCATCTATCGCCAACTAGATAAACTTTCCCCTCCTGGTGAGAAGAAGCGCGTCCTCAGGAGGAAAAAGGGCTCTCAGGGTGTCAACAAGGCCAATCCTCGGTCCAATCTGTCCGTCTTATCCGTCTTAGATCCGGCCACTATCGTCCGGGATCCAGAGAGGTCACTGGTCGGCTTTCTGGTAGACTCTAATCCATTCAAAGAAAGGGGTCTCGTCAAGAAGACTATCAGCATATCATTCCAGGGCGTGCCACACTACCTGGTCAGCTACTACAACATAGGAGACGTTGACAATAAGTCTCTGGTGACCCCAAGCGGGTCCCCTTTCTTTGAAAGTGTCAAACCTCGCACGGAGCTCATCATGTCTCAGAAATTCCGCAATCCTGTGGGTGAGATGACCATGTACGCCTAGAGTGAGAATGGCTTCATGGCCGCCAATCCGCAGACTTTCTATGGGCTAGGTTGACATCAGCCAACTTCCGGGCTCCTTGTCCATCTCACGCGATATCACATCACTGTCCTTTCACTGGCACTTTCGCCCCACGCGACACTGCGGGTAACCGCGTAGCGGATAATTGCAGGACATGTTTGCTCTTGCCATACTGTTTCACCATGACTGAACAGAATTCTCATGTTAGGGATCTTCAACCTGACTGCAATACGTGCGAGCACAAGTAATATACTCCTGAGTTTTCACTGAGTTTATATAACCTTGAGGAAAGCTGCATTGCAACCCGCTAAAGAAATGCCCGCTAAAAAAGCCGCAAACAGGCCAACCAAATGACTCCTTGTTGGCTGCCTAAAAGAAGAGCTGTGGTAAGTCCATGCCTTCTGCGGGAGGGGACTACTTCAGTGGCAAAACGACGGCTTGAAATCTCCATCAAATCTTACCCTTCACTCAAATCTCTCTCTTCCGCCTTCCGCATCATTCACACCGCCACCATTACCGAGACCAACGGAGTCCTCCCCCCAACGCTCTTCCATAGTTCAGCTGTCTAACCCAGCCCCGGAACGCGTACATGAAGCTCGAATATTCTCACAGGAACACCAGTTTGGAATCGCGGACAGAAAGTACAGATCGCAAAACATGAGCTCTGCTTATAACACTAACGGAGACCAGATCCAGTCGGAAGGAATTGGGAGTAGCAACGAAAGGGGAATGAAACTATCACTGACACTGCTGCTATTTGTAGAGCAACGGCCGACGGAACCTCGAGATTTGGATTCTGATCGGATCCCGATTCCACTAAGAAGTATGAATTACTTCAGGCGCTTGGATTTAGTTCCACCGAAGCTCATACTCACCACGTCGGCACGCCCGAACGACGATGTCCGCCCCGACACTGAGGGATGGGTTTATCTAAATCTTCTCTGCAACATGGTACAATTGCAGACGGCGAACGTGACCCCGGATTTCATCTGCAAGGCCGTTCTTGGTATGAGCGCCAGGTTCCAGCTGTCACCAGACGGCCGAAAAATTCGGTGGCATGGAGGCACGGACGGAACCGAGTTGAACAGTGACAGCTCGGGGATGACTTGCAACGAGGTTTAAAAATGGACGACGCGGAGCCTAAGGAGGAACGACGCAAGACGCCGAAGTCTGGCCGATCAACAGGCGAGTCTAGGAAGTCAGACAATAAGCTGTCTAAATCCGGCCCACAAGTCTCAGCACCATCTGAGAGCTTTCATTGTAAGCCTCTCTTCATCTATCGGAATTCGTCAGACGAACACTCATCGAAAGAAGACACTCTGTTGTCATTTGATCCTATAAAAGAGAGTAATGGTGGTTCGCGAGGGGTTCGGAGTGGTTTGGGCGCATCAGATAGTTACGAACGTCGTCGCGATGGCGCTATCATTTACTACAGCGGTTTGCCGTTCTGTACCGACCTGTCGGGTGACCCAGGGAATATTTCGCCAGCCCTCTGGAGCAACCAAGAACGGACTGACCCACCTCAACAACCTATTCACACAATACCTTTCCGGTCGAAATCAGGATCTTCCTGATCCGGCGGCCTTTAAGCGAAACGGATCTTGGCCTTGACTCCGATTCGGAGATGGATGTTGATGCAGGTGACTGTACACCTGAGCTGGTAACTCTAGCGAGTGACAAGTCCAGTGTGCTAAATTTGGGGTTTCCTTGGAGAGATGAAAAGCAATTTATCGAAGTTCCTCCATTCGAGCCCTCCGGACTCAGTGGCCTGTTACCAGAAGATCATTTCATGGTAATCGTCACCACCAAGCGCTCAAATCTCGACGCTCAATGCGGTCACGAAGGCAGTGATCAACGCACACTGTCCAAAGAGGTGACGCATACGTTTATCAATCGGTTAGCCACGATGTTGACGTCGTCATCACGTCCGTTCTTTGGTCAAGCATCGTTGCAGGGCGGCACGTCGAGAATTGAGATTCAGTATATATCCGACCATGTTAAGCGGCTACAGCCCGTGCCACTACCCCTACCTATCACATTTTATCCGCCTTTCAGCGCCAATTCCAGGTCCGAGGACAACTTCGGATGTGACGGAGACGAGGAGCTGCATTCTTCCGAAGGTTTCTAAGATCCGGAGGTTTTATGAGTCGATGAGCTAATTTTCATCAATCCGATGACTATCCCGACGGAATAGATCTGAGGTGATGATGAGGATGTAGAAGAGGATGGCCCAATAGGTTTATCAATGGGCGGAAATTTTCATGTACAACCGCACGGCCAGCATTCGCAAGGGCGACGGAGGCACCCTCCCCAGGATCAATTGGAATGTAGTGCACGCGCACCGCCAGGGTAGCCAATTTCCCCATCAACTCCATACTGTACTTCAGCCGTATCTTCTGGATGCGCCGCTCTCGAAGGAGGTTCGTATACACAGACGACACTGCTATCTTAACCACCGGGGCCTCGACCCGCAAGACCACTGGAACTGCACAAACAGAAATACACCCCAGTTGAATAGGGCAGGGAAAACGCTATCTCCTCGACCCAGGAAAAGCAGAAGCTATCCACTTCTACCGCAATGATAGCAAGGCAATCACTCCAAGCCACAGCATTAAGTGGCTTGAAGTATTTCCGGACACCGGCCTATCCTGCAAGATACACAGAACCTCAACCGGGAATGCTGTCAAGGTGACCAACTTCCTACGATCTTCCAGCAAGACACAAAAAGGTCCCCCTTCCAAAGCTGTGGCCATTGCAGTCAAAGCCTATGCCCCGCCAGTAGCTCCTGCCGGGGTGGAGGCATTGTAGCCAGAAGAACGACAAGGCTCTGCCCACCCAGATAGGATGGTAAATATGGGTGTTGGGGGTCTAGTGGACAAAGATCATAAAGGTCTTCAAAGCGGCAGCTAGAGCAATCCTACCAGTATGTTAAACTATAACCATCTAGTACTACATAGGGAATCAGACATCCCCTCTGCAAGCACTGCACTCACACAAGCCCGCCTGAGATGCGCTGCGAAAGTTGCAGGACTGCACAGGACACACCCAATCAGCAAATGAGCCCACAATCTCCACCCCCGCCTCCCAAAACGAGACTTCAAAAAACGGCAAGCCTAATAGGCCAGACCATGAGGCTTACACTCTGCGCAGACTCCAGGTTTTACAATCCGCATCTTATGGTCGCAACCACAGGCTTGTGGGTACGTACTCCGGAATAGCACGGACCGACATCTTTTAGAGATAGCCTAATATCAAAATCAAAACAGCTATTGTCGTCATTGTCCTTTGAAGGAAGTGGCTCGTGCTCCTCATCCAGCAATGCTCTTGCTTCGCAGAGCTCAGAGAGAAGCACACAAACCCATCCCACTGTATAAGAATTATATGTAAGCTCAATGGTTTTAAAATTGTTAGCATAGAGTTCCCCAGTAATAATGGAGCATGCATGAGTAAAATAGTTAGCTTACTTGGCTTCCGTCATGGCCTCTGGTGACAGTTAATTACCGCTGCGCGGTGCTGGTAAGTAAGTATTGAAATATACCTCATAGATGAAGGTGCATTATTATTCATTCCGCTAGTGTCTGCAATATGGCGACGCCTTCATTCTTCCAGCTCTTGGAATCCGCTGGTCTCTTAGGGCATCAAGCCCAATTACTCGACAATGGGTTCGACGACGTAGATGCTTTGTGCACACATTGGGCTTTCGAGGCCTTGGCCAATTGTTAGGATGTCTGCTGGTCGTGGAGTATTTGCTACTGTAGAACACATTTGCGCAAAAAGCCTACGTGTATAGTCGCGTGATGATTGGCAGCGATTTCATCTTTGCTATATCACCTTCCGTCAAATTGCACCGATCGATACTGAGATCTATCCGATAGAGCAGTACCACGGCGCAATAGCACCGGACCTGATGCAAGAGGAGCCCATTGCAGCAGACCTCGCTGAGGGCTATGATCCCAGGCAAAAAGAATTTCTTGCCTCTCGGCTTGGAATTGCTTTTGTCTATTTCAACGCTGAGTACGATAGTCAAGGAGACGCCGAGTTTGTTAAGCAGTGGCAATTTGGTGAGAATGTTACTGTTCATACTGCTTCGGACATGGGAGAGAATTTCCTCATTGCAGTGAATACGTTACCCCAGCATAAACAGGACATCAGAAAACACGGTAGTAGAGGCACATAGGCAAGAAGGCAGTCCAGGTGATTGACTCCTGAAGTTACAGAATTAGTGCCTTAAATTACATAATGATGGAATAGCAATGGCTTTCATTGCAATGAGTACTTGTTAGGTAGCTTCTACTTCTCCGCCGGTTTAATCCCAATAATCCTAAACTCCTCTGCGCTCGAATCTGTGTTTTATGTAGGATATTTTTGTACGTCCGTCTCGAACAACCTGTGCAATTATTTTACCTCACTGCTGAATTACATAATGCCTACGCCATTATGCTCAAAACCTGTAGCTTCCGGAACCCCACCGGATAAGCCAATTATATTAATACCACAGGCCAGAAGTATGCAAAGAAGCAAGTTGAAGTCATTGGATGCCGAGAAGGTGGCGAATGAGAGCTGGCGACAACGAGAAGACAAGCTAGAGAGTTGACAAGCTTTGGCTTAGAGCAAAGTCTATTCTGAGAGCCATTGGACTCTGTCCTGTGGCGATCGATCCCCAGCTCCCAGGCAACTACCGGTAGCTATGCGCGGTGTTAGATGCTATTAGCTAGTCTGTTTCCATCTCTCTCTAGAGTGCTGACCTCGAGTTCCGGTGGATCGCAGTCAGATTGACATGCAACTCCCATAAAAGGGCGCGTCCTACGTCCAAAGCGCAATGCTATGAAAGACGCAAACTTTTTTACCGCCTGTGTCAACTAGTTGCAGCCCAAGATGCGCTCTCCATTGAGTACTCTCGTCCGCGCCACTGTGCCTGCTATCCCTGGCCACTCCATGACGACATCTTCACCCATATTTTCCTACTTCAGCAGCAAGGATTCCCCTGTTGGAAAAGAGGGCCGCTCTCTGCCTAAAGCCGCTGTTAAGCCTAAGCCCCAAGTATACAACTCAAATATCACAGGCTCGGGCTCGGATCCTAGGAGTCAGCTCACGACCGCGCAGAACCAGGAAGTGGACGAGCATAATCGTCACTTTACGAAGGAGCGTGCCAGAGAAGACGGGACTAATGACAAGGGTGGCACTCGTCACTAGCGCCAGCTAGCAGATGCCATGCTCTGAGCAAGCTGCTAATGACAAGCTTGGCGCCAAGAAAACCCTTTGTGGGACCTTTTGCGGGGGTACAGCAGACTCGCAACGGCTCTTATGTTCCTAACCATAGACAAACAGTCACATTTATATCAAGCCCCCCCTTTTTTTTTAAAGATGTCTCTATATAGCAACACTTACGAGATTTGAACCTTACACAAGTGCAAATAAATAAGTTCAAATTTTAATTAGTATGATGGCTTCGTCCTGTTATGGGCTTTACATTTTCTCCTGTCATAACCGAGTTGAGGCTCTCAACTCTAGCCAAAGCAGTGTCTCCTGCAGTGTCGAAGTCCAGCCATTCAGGCCTTAACTGCACATAAGCTTTCATCAGGCCTGTTCGTTATCAGGGAGGATGCAGGGGACATTCTCGGGGTGCAGAATTCGGAACATACAGCGCCAATTGTTGATGCAATTCATTGTGATAGGCCTGAATACATATTCTCTTGTGCCCCTAACTAAATCCTTTTAAGGATAGGCAGGCCCTCAGCCCAACAAGTAGATGTTGATGTCATCCACATCGGGTTTGACTAGACGTCATTCTATCATCAGCAACGCCTTAAAGGCATATAACGATAGGAGGTAACGGATATAAAGACAGTGACAGGGGTGAAAGTTCCTGAGGATGTACACAAAATGGCTTAGAAGAGACAAAGAAGAAAACACACATTACACACGTTACACACACACCCAACATCAGTATAATATTAATTAACAATAACTACCAAACTTCATGTTTACCTCCTTTGTCCTCTCGCCTTTAATCTTCATCCTATAAATTTTGGTGGGTTTAGTTATTTCACTTCCTGGCAAGCTTCTTGCCTGCTCTTTAAGTGCTCCCTGTGGCTGTGAAAGACACGAGCCTTCTAATGGGCCTTCATTGGGCTCATCGAGTTGTTTGTAGCAACCTTGTTGGCTCTGCATCTACATAATTATTCAGTTAGGGCCACAGTTATCCGTCTCATTAGCAGGTTGACTTGCCCCCACAGTTTGCATAGTGCCTCCTGTTAATATCATCTTGATGGATTCGTCTAAGTCTTCGGTTCAACTCGATTGCTAAAGTGCCTTTCGAGTCGGCATTGTAAGGGCCCTGCGCTCCCTGCCTGTGCCATACTTTGTTAGTCAGGTGCACGCACCTCTTTGTCGCGGGTTATTGCACGCCTGTGACTAGGTAAGTGATACTGCCGCAGCAGCGCCACCAGCTAGTACGCCTTTCTCCGTATATCAAGTCCCGTACAAGATTATCGCGGTTAAGATCTTCGTTCCGAATAGCTTTAGTGGGGTACGTAGGCAGAAATCGGCTTACCTGTGAGTCACAAAGACACCGAAGGGGGAAACGAAGCGAGCTAAGGTAACGCTCTTGTCGTTTAACCACATCTTGTAGGCCTCGACATTGCCGACGAACACGATGTAGTCGTCGGATTTGCCTTTGCAGTGGACCTTGGACAGGGATCCCTCTCTTCATGTCTGTTTGGCAGAACAGTACGGCCGTGGTGAAGCGCTGAATGTGGGATGTCGTTCTACCTCAATACTGCCCAAATGTCTCCAAGGGCCTGTATGCTTAAGTAGACAATTTTGGAACATTTAGTTTGTCAGTTACTGTTGTATTTACACTGGTTATAAGCATACTACCAGAATTGCAACCACTCCATCAGGTCCCCGGGTGGGTGGGCATACTGATTAGGTTCGGCCGTCCGTTATGGAACTATTACCCATTATTTTCGTCTTGGTGGGCGCCGCACTTTGATAACAATTGGATGGTATGGTATTGGGGCCGATGGGTTAATTGGCAGCCGGTCGCGAGTGCGCCGAAGCAGCTTTGCCATCCATGCATGGAGACACCGTCCATTGGGCAGCTGTCCATCGATCGGTAGATAAATGCCGATCGAGCTATGCCTGCTGATCTCTGCTTTTAGTTGACCCCTGTGGCGAGGCCCTGCTGAATCAAGCGTTTAGCCAACAGCCATGTGGGTGCTCACAATATTAACATTTGAAGTAGCGACTGTTGTGCTTCACGGACTTGCGAGCTATTCGCCGTATGGGTCTCAACAACTGGCAAGCTTATGGCTTGGCAACGTCATTGGTCATTATTGTTGCCGCAGCACGTCATACCCAACTATGACCTGCCTATATTTCTCTTAAGTACCAATCAACCTACCTTCGATGAGCTAGCCCACCGCTAGCGTCACTGAAAGTTCAGGAAGTGCGTCTTGGTGGTGAATGTTGTGACTAACCGCCAAGCCTGTTAGGCGCCATTCGTAAAGTTGATGTGACGGTTCCGTCCTGACCTCCCACACCACCAATTGACTAGCTCAGCTTGACCCCATAAAGCGCTTAGAGCACACCTGCACCTAGTAGGTTTTATGCTATGCCTACTACAGTGTGTGTATGCCTTGTGTCTGTTTCCTCATACTCCCTCGTCTTCCACTATCAGCCCATTCCCAGCACATGCAAATTGAGACAGTAGGTACAGAATGTTCGAGTAGGGCGTACACAATCAAGGGCATTACAGTAGTCCTCTCGTAGCATGCTGGACCTATAGACGGCATAAGTGATAGCCAACTTCCCTGCAGTTTCTCTGTAACACTCAGGCACTGTTGAATAACGTGGGTGCTCACAACCGCCGTCCAGCACTGCTACCAGCTCCGTAGATGCTAAGTTTCAACCAACCCCTTTCAACTCCCATGCATGATATCTCTCTGTCAACTAGGAAGATGTTCAAGAAGTTAGCCTCTGTCCCTCTCGCAGCCATTTTGTGGCCTCTCCGGCTTGCGCGTTAGTTGAAGTCGACTGAGCTGACACCCGTTTCTCGACAGTAGTATTTCGTCTTTAGCCAGAGCAGGCCGTCCGTCGTTCGCTGTCAAGGCCACACGGCGTCCCATCAAGCCGGCATCTCTCCAATTCCCTCTCAGCAGCCGGTTTGCGTCTACGGCCGGCGTCGGAAGCGGCAAGATTCATCAAGTGAGCCGGATTTCGGATACCTCATGGCCAATCAGCTTTTTACTTACAAGAACAAACCACAGGTCATAGGTGCTGTTGTCGATGGTTAGTGAGAGTTTTTCAGCAGACTCAAGCATATCCTTTCTCATGTGAAACTTGCGCAACTGATTGTTACACAGTAAAATTCAATGACTTGAAGCTGCCCCCCATTCTGAACTCGCTCGAGACAGACAACAATGGTCAGAGACTCGTGCTCGAAGTCGCGGTATGTGGAGTCATCCGGCGGCATTTTGGCAGCTATGCCTGGAACGCTAATTTAGCCATCAGCAACATCTTGGCGAGAATGTCGTCCGGTGCATTGCCATGGACGGTACGTTGATTCCTTCGTCCGCATAGTTTTCGTTCTCAATCTCTGGTAGGCCCGATTCTAACTTGTTATAGGTACCGAGGGTCTCGTCCGCGGCGCCAAAGTCAGGGACACTGGTGCCCCTATCACCATTCCCGTTGGCCCTGCTACCCTGGGTCGTATTATGAACGTCACCGGTGACCCGATTGACGAGCGTGGCCCTATCAAGACCGATAAGTTCTTGCCTATCCACGCTGACCCGCCTTCCTTCACTGACCAGTCCACTACTGCGGAGATTCTGGTCACTGGTATCAAGGTTGTCGACCTGCTCGCTCCGTACGCTCGTGGAGGGAAAATTGGTCTCTTCGGTGGTGCCGGTGTTGGCAAGACCGTCTTTATTCAGGAGCTGATCAACAACATCGCCAAGGCTCATGGTGGGTACTCCGTCTTCACCGGTGTCGGTGAGCGTACTCGAGAGGGGAACGACCTGTACCACGAAATGCAGGAGACCTCCGTTATTCAGCTCGATGGCGACTCTAAGGTCGCTCTGGTGTTTGGTCAGATGAACGAACCCCCGGGTGCTCGTGCCCGTGTTGCTCTTACTGGTCTGACTGTTGCTGAGTACTTCCGTGACCAGGAGGGTCAGGATGGTAAGCCTTTAATTTCTAACGAGAAAATACAGACTAGATATGATGACTAACTGCCATTTCAGTGTTGCTCTTTATCGATAACATTTTCCGATTTACCCAAGCTGGTTCTGAGGTGTCTGCTCTGCTCGGTCGTATCCCCTCTGCGGTCGGTTACCAGCCCACCCTAGCCGTCGACATGGGTCAAATGCAGGAGCGTATCACCACCACCAAGAGGGGCTCTATCACCTCCGTCCAGGCCGTCTACGTCCCTGCAGACGATTTGACTGACCCAGCTCCCGCTACAACATTCGCTCATCTGGATGCCACGACTGTCTTATCCCGTGGTATCTCGGAGTTAGGTATCTACCCCGCTGTTGACCCTCTCGACTCCACGTCCCGTATGCTCGACCCCCGAATTGTCGGCCAGGAGCACTACGACACTGCTACTCGTGTCCAACAGATCCTGCAGGAGTACAAGGGTCTCCAGGATATCATCGCCATTCTTGGTATGGACGAGCTATCTGAAGCGGATAAACTCACCGTTGAACGTGCCCGTAAGATCCAGCGTTTCCTAAGTCAACCATTCACCGTCGCCCAGGTCTTCACTGGTATTAAGGGTAAATTGGTTACCCTCGAGGACACCATCGCCTCATTCAGGGCCATCCTAAACGGTGAGGGTGATAATCTGCCCGAATCTGCCTTCTATATGGTGGGCAACTTTGCCTCAGCCAAGGAGAAAGGTGAAAAAATTATTGCGAACCTGGAGAAGAATTAGTTAGTATCAGGGTAATTATATCTGGGAATGTAGAGGGAAGCTGTTTACTGGCTGAGGAACTGGAGCTGGCGAGGATTCTCTTCCGAACTTAATCAATCAAGTCTATTTTGTGTGTGCAGTATGCGTCACTGTGAGCAGCCGGAGTCGTGTAGAGTCGCAGCTCGCCATTAGTAAACACACAGCGTGTAGAGTGGCCACCGTTGAGTGCTGCTCGGTCCAAGCTTTGCACGAGATACTGCTGTTGCTTGACTCTTTGCTATGGAATGCCGATTTAGTCTCGGCAGACAAACGTTACAAGAGAAGAAGTTGTTTTAACATTATTTATCACGCCACATAGCCTTCCCCGAGATCTGTCGAGTGGTCCGAGTAGTATGCCCTACTTCACACGGTGTGCCATATGGCTCCAGGTGTCGTCGCCCAGAGCCGTGGGCAAATTTCAGAGCTGTTGGAGGCGAGCTTCATCGCGAGAATTTGATCCCGAGCCTCAACGCCTCGCCTAGCCAAATCAATTTAGAACTGATGTCTAGTCTTCCCCAAGCTACCATAGCTTTCTTGCAATCGTCTCGTTTTATCGATTGGGGCAGCCGGCAACTATGAAAATCCTTACTGGCTCTCCGAGGCTGTAAGGTGCCTATAGCGTTGAAATCATTGCGGAGACGATCCTCCAGCCCAAAGATTCCTAAGGTGTCCGCGATAAGATCGGATACTTGACCCTTGATAACGCTTATAGCATTGACACAACCATGTGATCTATTCCAGAGACTTACCATTTCAATGCTGCCCATCGTCGACTCCACTACAAAGACCACACCATCAATCTGACGATGCGTTTCTGTTTGGCAAGAACAAGGATGCTTCTGATGAACCCCCATACGTCAAGTATCACAGCTATCATGCAAGGCACAAGAAGGCGTCGTTGGATGAGCGGAGACCGGGACTGCTTGGCGGCAATATGACGGATTCGGTATGCTTCACAATCTTGTGGTGTGGATTTGCTCATCGACTCACCGCTACTAAGCCCTGCAAGCTGTCAGCCGTATGACCCTGCAAGACAACTCGACAAGGTGATCAAGATTAAGATATAGGGTGGTCAGGGTTTTAAGCCGAAAGTTATCCAAAGTCGCAGATGAAGGCTTAGCAAGCATGTCGGGACTTATGCGGTTGGCATTATCGACAACGCAGCCAGAAGCGACCTCCAAAAAATCAATGGAGGCGTTGCTTTCGGCAAGCGCAGTAAAAAAAGCATGCAGCATTCGGCGGACCAGCTTGACGCTTTTTGACGACTCAAAGGTAAGACACCTTTGCGGCAGTATGCCGATTTCTCTCCACAAATGTCTCAGGCCCCAGACCCTGTTGTCGTCTGTGATCCTTCTGGTCTTGCAGTTAACGAGGCCCTTCATGGCACGCGTGAGATATACGATGTCGCCTCCCCGCTTAATGAGTTCCTCCTGGTCATTGAAAGCCTTGCAATAAGCTGTCTCGTTTAGCCGACGTAAGTGAGGGTAGTGGTTATCATCATCATCACTGTCAGCTTCTTCGCCGCTTGTATTTTCTCCATCCTCACCTTCTCCTTCTCCTTCGTCCTCTTCCTCCATTTCTTCGTCGGTCTCTTCATCTTGGCCATTTTCCCTGCGTTCTCTCTCGGCAGCCATCTCTGAAAAGGGCCTTGAGAGCGGTTCAATAATACGCAGCTCATCAAGAGGCAAGAGGTAATTAGTGCATATTTCTACTTCTTCAATAGATGAGCCGAGAGCAGGATGCTCGGCAATATTAGCTAGTGCTTCCAAGCTTCGGCGCTCAAGCATCACGCGGCGCGTGCGGAAGTACTTCTGAGAAAATATATGAAGTGTCGTATTATTGAGCGTGTGGCACGTTTGGCGTAGGCACAAGAAATCATTGGGCGAAAGATGCTCGACTATATGGCTGGTAATCTCTAGAGAGAGATGAAAAATCGGCGCCATTTATGCGGAATAACAGTGAGGCATGCCTCACCAAACCAAGGCTGTCAGAATGGTATAAATGGAAGCTATATTTCCTTCGTTGGGGGCCCCGAACGTGTGGCAGTGCCTAGGTAGATTATCTGGGTTGGCGGCAGTTGTTGTATATTTTGCAGTAGGATCCGATTGATTGAGCAGGACACCACAGGCTTTATAGCATGCAACGATACAAGCTATGCGTGTGTGTGCGTTGTGGGTACGGCCTAATTTCGGGCCTGAGGCGCTACGAGCCAGCATGCATGCAGTCATGATATGAGCTAACTTGCGGCCAAGATTATTCGCAGAAGCAAATGATAAACAATAGGTGAGGCACACAAAGTGAATTATGCAAGGGGGCAAAAGCCAAGTAGCCTAGATTTCATTATTTGGAAAGGAAATTACCATATTATATGGGAAACCATGAGGGAGTGAATAGCTAGACATTGCCTGCTCTTGGGTGGATTAAGGTGCAGGGTAAGTGTTACGACCCGACCTCTTAAGGAACATAACACAGTACGTACCCCGGGATAACCTCGGAACGCACGACCAATTAGAAGAGGACCGACGACGAGCCAGCGGTCCTACGTACTGGACCGACATACGCGAGCGGTCCTCAGGATATTGGACCGATGGGCTATATCGGTCCCTACGGAACGACTTACTATATAAGACGTTCGAGATACACTCATTAGATAGCTTAGATAGTCAGTCGTTAACAACACAATAGTACCAGATACAGGTCATACTATATCTACCAACTCGTGACTACGCAACGTGCTCAATAACGGATATCCTATCCCATCTGCCAACATAGACACACGCATCTATCCCTTGGGAATCCCCCCTACCCTATAACGATAACCTAGGATCTAGGGACCGGATCGTCACAGTAAGTGGCCGACGCTCCAAGTTGGCAAGTCTAAGCTGCCGACCGACAGAAGACCTGCACAGGTTACGCAAGAAGCCGCTGGATTCAATGAAGGATGCGCAGAGCTTTATAAGACTTTTAGTAAACCGACCTTCCGGCTTCGCCTCAAAGTTGGGCCCAAAACCACTGAAACACCCCATTAATCGGCACACTTTTATAGCTTATTGTTATATATATATTATAAAAAAATACATAATTTATAAAAGTCGGCTGTAATACTAAAATAAACTGTGCATGCCGCTTTTTGGGGTGTTTCAAGGGTTTTGGGTAACTCCGAACATCTGCGAACACCAGCGGCTATGAAGATGCGGGAAACTGAGCAGCCTTCTATTCCTCCACCACGTCCGGGTCCTGACCTCGTGCACTGTGCTTTCCAGCTGTAACATACTGTCCCTAATTAATTAGTAATACAAGAGATAAATCTAGCTCTAGGTTTGTATTATGTACCTCTAGTTGCAGCAACAGAGAGTCATAAATTCTCTCTCCATTAATAGAGGTATTTTCGACGATTTCCGTCGTTATAGTACATATACCACAGCAGCACCTGGATTCATACAAGGCGCACAACGATACCTACATTATCCCAAGTGGTCTTTTAACTCCTCCGACTCCTCTAACAAAGCTTTGAATGAGAATGGTGCGAACGGCCAACTCTCAAACTCTGCGAACTTGGAGAAAGACTCAACCCAGGACAATCTGAGCGAGTGCAGCATGACACTGGTACCCTCCATGCATATCAAAATGGCCACCGCTAATAATCTGTCAACGTCCATCTCTTAGTAGTGAGATGGAAAGCTAAGCTTACTGAGGAAAAACCACACATAGAAACAGACGACAATCGTAATCACGCCGACAGCACCTGGTGGGCTAGCGATAAGGCCCAGAGACGTAGGTAGGAAGCAGTATGAGAAATGCAGTTCAAGTAAAACTCTATAGGATTATGTTAGGACTCAATGTCTCCCCGATTGCAAATAAAGCGGCAGCCTACCAATAGTATGGATGACTTGGTGCATCAGGACCTCTCCAAACTCGAACTCCTCGCGATCTTCATCTTTATTCTGAGTAATCATTGCAACTCCCTCACCACCTTCGTTAGAATTAGCGCCATGTTCATTGACTGAAGTCCCGTCCTCGCCGTCTCTGCCCATGGCGTTAACACGGCTTTCGCCGATGCTGCGGTAACCCTTACTGCGGACACGCTTGTGTTCCCAACGAAGATAAAACGGCTTGAGAAAGAGCAGGATCGGAATCTGGACAAGAGCTATGAAAGCAGAATAACCTGAACATACTCTTGCCCGGCGAACAAGCATTCATCAAGTGTTCCAGGCTGCAGGAACATATAGATCAGCATGTTCAGAAGGCCTGGAGGCTGCGCACCAGTGCCAAGCCAGTCCACCGACCACTTGTAGATGATGCAAAGGACGAGATAACCGAATATAGCCTGGAAAAATATCAATCTAGGAAGGAAGTTACCCCAGATATCAATGGGCTTCTTGAAATATCTCGCGTTGATGTAGGCGAAGCATAGAGAGTAGGTCATGTAAGCCCAGCCAAGGATGATACTCATCTTCATCTTATAGCTGTTGCTGAAGAGAAGATTATTATCTGCTCTATGCCAAGCCCAATCTAAACCAAATGGATAGCGGTAGCCATTATTATTTAAAGTAGCAGAAATAGACCATTGTTCTTGCCAGCCCTTGGGCTTCTTAACGCCCAAGCGCTGTCGAACAAGGTCATGTACTTAGAAAAGATATCATTATAGCTGAGGCCAGTGAATGAAGAGAAAGCTGCCATAATCGGCATAATGTATCGGCCGTAAAAGACTATGGCGAACAGTTCGAGTTTAACCTCTTTTAAAGGCTTCTCCCAAAAGATCATAGCCAGTGCAGCAGAGAGCAGGATAAAAGCGTGTCCAAAGTCGCCAAACATTACAGCAAAGAGGAAAGGGAAGGTAACAATGACAGGCACGGCCGGGTTTACCTCTTGATAGGTGGCTGTACCATACGCATCGACAATGGTCTGGAAGCCTTCGGTAAACTTATTGGTCTTCAGATAAGTAGGTGGCTTCTTGTTGGATCGGACTTCCTTAATAATGGATGGAGCGGAGGAGTCAAATCGGTTGGTGACGTCCTGAAGAGTAAACCTGATGAGAGGCAAATCATTAGCGGGGCACCAGCCTTCAGCGATAAGGATCTGGCGGGCAGGATCGAAAGAGAATAGATTGAGGGTGGTGTATGTAGCCTTCTCCTTTGCAATGAGCGCCATCCAGGCAGACAGATATTGCGAAATTTGGTTCAGTTCTGCTTCAAGAGTAGCCTGGGTGTTGCGAAGGACGCTCTGGACGTCCTCGAGGCGACTGTTCACTCCGTGAATCTGGTTACGGCGGTGGTTGCTATTCTCGTCGACATTATACACCTCAGCTCCCATAAATTCAGATATCTTCCGAACCTTGGCGACCATCTCTCTGCCATGAGTGAAGATGAGAAACACATTCTTCTTGACGGTCTCATTGTTCGTGGGGTCAATTAACGGCTCCGGAATTTCTGACTGTTTCATGTACAGGCAACAAGTATAAATACATGCTCTACCGTTCTTGCTGCTGTCTTCAAAGAATACTTGTTCTTCACTTTTCCAAGACGCTAGAAGCCTTTAAAAATCCTACATTATTATATTCATCATGCATTATCTTACTCTCCTCCCTGTTCTTCTTGCCCCCTTCGCGGCAGCTTTACCTGCAGCTGAGGATTCTGTCACTATCTATGATAGCCCAAACTTCCGCGGGCAACATAGAATAATCCCAGTGAATGGAATCTGCGTTAACCTGGGGCCTCCTTTGTCGGTGCATAAATGGATAGATTCAGACCATCAGGCTAATATTGACACAGCTTTACTTCCGGCCGAGGTATTCAGTCTCTTCAGTTCTCTGCTCCTGAAGGCGAAAATTGCGAGCTTCACCCTGAAGTCTCCTATGGCTTGTACTTGGACTGACAAGTAAAAGGACCTCAAACTGCCGTGATGACGATCCGTTACTTTTCTTTGAGAGCCAACAGCACACTCGCGTTACAACACGCTCGATCCGATGCGCTAAGAACGCTGCAATTGATGATGACGATGATTAAGATGGGGAAGGCAAAGAATAGGAATATATGTGGGAAAGGGTTTTTTAGCCGGGATATGTCAGTCGAGGTGGCGTGGTGCTAAATGAGCTGTAAACTACTACTGCAGAACGCCTGGGAGCCTCGGTGAGGTTTTTTGCCTTGGAATGCGTGGATTTTTCCCTACACTATAGTGCAAACGCAGAGGCTATAATTCAGTATATTTCTTACTACATATCGTAGGGCCTATTCTAACCTAGGGCTACAAGGTTAAGTTAAAAGGTGCATTCATTCATGCAGCCGTCTTGACTCACAATATGCAATGAAGAAGGTGACGCCAGGAACAGATTTAGCCATGTTTGCATTTGGGGGTCATTAGCGGTAGTCATGCCGCCTAGGGAAGTTACGGACAACTTCTGCTAAACGACTCGTGTGGTCTGCCGCAAGGTACACACTTGGGTATCAGCGCCTGCCACGCACTATGATGTTGGCCTTCGGCGGCACATTTTGCACATATTCGATTCTTGCTGCACAAGAACGCCTTATGGCCGAGTTCTTGGCAGTTATAACATTGTTTAGGTCTGGCTCTTCGCTCAAACACGCTGGTATACGCTGAACACCGGCGACAAGGAAGTATTGTTCTTGCAATAAACTCATAGCGTCACTGTTTTTGGTGAGGTATACTACCATTGATCCATATGCTTTTGTGTTATCCTTCCGGCTTAGCCAAGCCATCTTGGCAATCTGCACTTCATTTTCCTGGCTCAGGGATTCGATCGCTCCCTCCAGGACCTTGCCTTCCTGTCAAGGATACCAGTGCGGTTGATGTTATCAACTTTGACTGGGTACAATTGGTCTCGGACTCTGACACCTGGTGCGTTCCTCACATCAATAACCTTCTTGATTCTCTCCAGTTCTTCCCCAATCCTGCCGATTACTTTTACGCGATTAGCATTTCGTCCATCTCTGGTCACTACGACACAGCGCCAACTCGGCTGGTCACTAGACGCCCGAATTTCCTGGTCGATGGTCTTTAGAAGCACGGCCGGCGTTGTTTCTCCAATATGGTCGTCGGGAACTCTGGATGTGTCCACTGTACAGAAGCCTGGCTCGGGGAATTCCGATGCCACCGTAAACGAGCTCCCGATTGAATTACTAACAGGCGACATTCTAGCGGCATGCACATATGTTCGACCAGGTGATCGTGTCGCTTTAGAATTGTTTCAGGTGACAAGCTGTCGCCGGGTCTGTTCCAGCTTGCTACGTGCCTGGGTGAGTTGTTCTCGGACCTGTGCCAATTCTTGTGCCATCGGGGACATGGACCTAGTGACTTCTTCAGCCATGCAGTTTTTAAGCTTTACAAACTTGAGCTGAAACTCAGTCTTCATAGCTTTCATTTTCTCACTGAAGTTTTGTTCTAGAAGTTGTTTCAGTGCACTGGAATGCCTCGGACATGTTGTCGGCTGCTTTTGTCGTGGTCCTTTTCCGTGTTCGGGTATAGCTCCGGGTTCCCTCACTGTTTTCATTCTCTTGACCTTCACTATCGCGATTTTGCTGATCTGCCTCCATAGCTTTCGTAGTTCTGGCTCTTTTGCGCAGGGGCCGATGATATGCCCCGCCAGGAGCCTCTGGCTCGCGATCCATGACAACAATGACGTCTGAAGCGGGGTCCACGACACCAAAGGCCTAAATCTCCGCGAGGCGGTTACTAGGTCATCCAAAAATACAAATACGATAGATAATGGGATTTTATGGCGATATTAAGAGCCTAATTGAATAGAATCGGGTATAATTCTACTCTCTAGGCTCCAGTACAGTACTATCATAACCGAAAGAAGTGTCCGGGTTTCAATCTAATGCCACTCTTTCCGCACGGAACAATGCTGCGGCGTAATGTGGCTAATACGATGTAGGCGCAAATCTGCTCTTTGGTTTTTTTAATCTGGGCCGAATATTATTATATAAAATGGATCCATGATTATCAGGATGATGAACTGATAACTGAAATCGCGATCGCATCTTTAGGCATAAAGGACACTTCATTCAAGCTTTAGTTCCCGCATACAGTCACAGTTGAATCACGCCCTGTCCACAAACCTCAGAGCCAGAATAGTCTTTTTATATCACTAAAGGACGGCTCTAAAACCTGGTGCATTTCAACATAATCTGATCGATGCTATGGACGCCTCTATCGTAAGAACGAATGCCACTGGCTCAGTTCATTTAGTTTGAAGCTAACAGGATTGCAAGGTCTTCTGACTGCGGACTTAATCACTGCATTATTACCCACGAAGCCTATTATAAGACTATTAATTTACAATTGGACGCAGATCACTCCCTTCTTCATACTTTAAAGTAGTTTACTAGCGGTATTAGGTTGAATAATATGGTATCAAGGCTTTTATAGGTATGACATAGCACGGTTCCTAATCTTTTCCCAATACTTCTTATATATAGCAATGATATAACGGAACCATCTTGAAGGTGTATACTGGGTCGACTTGGAGCGATGCTCTTCTTTATTGCCGTCATCCATCCAGCCGTCCTTCACCCTGCCCTCGGACGTCATGGCATGTCTATAGGAAAACACTTGCGGGGCATCTTGAGTTATGCTTGGTTGAGCATGAACATCGAGGGGAGAAGACGCATGTTGCCCATGTTCACTTTCCTGCTGCGTAGGGCTAACTGAGTCGAGAAAAGGGCCGAGGAGGGATTCGTTCATGAGGTTGTAGATACCTTCGCGACAATCGTCTAGCTCGGAAGGGTGGGGGGGCTGAGGTTCACACGGGAGGCTCAAGAGGTGCTCCCGCTCATGATGAGAGATATTTATTTCTCGCAGCCCACAAGGAGCAATATAGAGTCGTATCAGCTTTTGCCATAATGATACTACACGCTTGTCACGCTGTGTACAGCTCTCGCCCGCGAACTGATCATAGAATACAGCATAGTTCTCAGCATCCTGATTGAACTGGAGAGTCTCTTCGCAATGACGTTGGAAAAGATGGGTGTTAAAGGCACGTAAATTCCATGGCGGTGGAGAGACATTTAAGAGAATCTCTCTAAGAGTAGGTCGTCGTGGGTATATCGTATCCATTTAACAACAGTAGTAGTGGTGGAGAGTTGCTTGTGCGCAGTAGGCGTAGGTCATCGATTTTCTAAGAGGGGAGGAAATAAGCCAACAGGTCAGTAAGCTGTGGTTTGAGTAAGGAGTACGTGTGTTTGTGAAAAGTTAAATATGGATGGAAATGTCTTCTACCCTTAATAGCAGGTAAGCCTGACTACTTGGGCAGTGGAATGTATAGCCAGCCACCCAAGTCTCCAAGTGGCAACATGTGTCGCCGATAAGAAATTGATAATTTGAGCATTTGTAAAAGCACTAGGAAAAGGATGAAGTACAGCAGCGACCGGTCCGCTTTGTGAATGTAAAGTTTCTCTCCGCACGGACCATTTTTGTGGCGTATTGTGGCTGATACCGTGCGCAGCTTCCGCGCAGGTCGTACCCTCAGCGAAGGCTATACTACGAGTCGGAACCAATCTTTAATCATGGCATCAGTTTGCTACCATCTCGGCAGCAACAAAATCGACCAATTTATGCCACCAAGAAGCGCCCAGAACAGGCTCTTTTATCACCAATAAGTGCTAATAGATATAAAACCCGACGCTTTACGGTATAATCTAAAATGGGATGATTCGACGAAACTTACCCTGATACATACCTGACAGTTCAAGCAAGCCTGTAGCTGCAGCGACCGCACGATGCTCAGAAGTATAGAAAATCCGATCAACATAGCACTGCCCCGCACTATTGAAACAGACGCAAACCGCTGACAGGTATGGTCAGCAACAAACGGGGCAGTCATGCCTTTTACGGGCATGTTATGATGAGCGCATCAGCCCAGTGTTATACCTTCAAGATACATTCGACTACGTGATAACACTGATGGCGGCTATGTTGGACACTGGATGCATTATAGTTCGGCGCCAGAGCGCTGCCATTCTTCGTTCCTGAATCTATACCCTCCAATGCTCCCTGGAAGTTTGGCGTCTCAGGGTATAAGGAGTCAGTCGCCGACATGGTCAATGCTCTCGAGATTTGCGGAGTGGACTGGAATACAATTGCAAAGAAATATTGCTTCAGATTTGTCTCACTCGGCAAAGCGACTATCAGCCGGCGAATGTTGAACTTGGGTACATGGGTGACCAGTCTCGGCAGTAAAATTGCTTCTCTCATCTTGGGAAAAAGACTTTGTAATATCGTCGATGCGTACGACCAGATAAAAGAAGAAGCGTCCCGAGATATTAAAGAATTTGAGCTAAGGCTAGACAAGAATAATCGCATTCGTTTCATTCCAACTGCAGATGTATGGGCTCGCGAAAACGAAGAAATTCAGAATTAAGACTAAAAGAGGCTATGAAAAAGTGCAATTGATCATTGGATCTCATACCAATGGAATCAAGTGCTGCATGGCTTTCGTCAAAGATTTCTATGCCAGCCATTTACAGTGCTCTATCGGGGGCTGGTGCGCCAGCCATCTTTACTAAGCAAACCAGCTTGAAGCAAGCAAAACTATGGAGAGACGCTTCCGCCACAAAGGATCCTAAGATCGTTCGCGCTGTAGAAAAGTACAAAAAGAAGGGATTCAAATTCTCAGACGCTGGACGTTCCGGGATCAAAATCCGATCTTTAAATGACGAGGATGCTCTGTTGATCGAGTATGGCAAGATGTATCGCCAATTCATAGCCCAATACCGCTATCCCATGCTGAATGATATGTTGAACGAGAGGCGTGAGAATATCGCTGGCATTTCGTGGACAGAGTTTGACGGCCGTATTGTTAGCTTTCAGAGTGTCTTGGGAAGTTTTTTTCGCACCAAAAAGGTCACTTTTGCGGGCTCAGAGCTACCCATGTCGAGTCGCCGCCGCCTCGGCAATATGAATGCAGCCAGTGTAAAAGCTCCTAGCAAGCTCAGATCTGCGGAGTATTGCAGCTCAGTGAAAGAGAGGGAGCGTATGATTGAGCTGATGAAAGGGTGGGCAATGCACGTTGTGGCAGCATCTGGCACGACTAGGTGCTACTTGCAAGATGCAACGTTGTGGGCATGGACACTATAGAAGGCTTGGTTCAAGGTAGGCGTGTCGGAGAGCCCCAACGAGCTACCCGACCAAGGGGAGCATACATTGAATTGGGGCGCTTTTGTGGCTCCCGCCTTGTACAAGTAGTACTGCTACTATCAATAAGGAGGCGCTTTACCTTCGTCGGCTGGAGCGTCTTCGATTGCATATATCGGTACATGTACAGTATATTCGACCTTTAATAGCGGGTAAGCCTGGCTACTTTGTGCAGTGACATGTATCGCCACCAAAGGCCTGGTGACTGTGTGCCTAGCCTCTAGTGGCAATGTAGCGCCAATAAGAAAATGCTAAAGAAAATGCTAAAGAAAATGCTAATTTAAGCGTTAGTGAATGCACAAGGAAAAAGACTATGATGACATCACCTTTGAACCGACCAAAAGTGCTGGATTCCTGTTAAGGCGCGAGAATAAAATAAAGACTATACCTAGTTCCTTCCTCTAAACATAATTCTATCCCTCCCTTGTCGCATAATACCAACAGATCCTACAGCCTGTGATGGGACCCCAGAGTGAAGAGGATTCCCAGGTGAGCACATCTTCTCATTCTCGATAACTCCCCGAAACTTAAATATTTTCCCAAGAAGCGTAATAGGGAGGCGCAGCTCCAAAAGATATACGGAATATTGCCAAGTCGAGATCTTCTTGGCCATCAGCTGGAGGTATGTGATTCCCGCACCTAGCTTTCTCTATTGCCACTGAGTATAGATCACGCTGACCTCTAAATTGGCTGTAGAACAGGACGTTTTTTGATTCTGGCGACTTAGCGCTTTTACAGGCTCAGAAGCCTTCCAGTATGGGCAGTGTTACGACTGGGAGCCAACATCCGTGCCGGGAGGCCATATCCAATCCATTCTGCCCGGTACCAAGCCTGAGCAATGTTGGTGAGGGGGCTAACGAGGGAGGAGACAGGGAGGAGACAGGAAGCGACATAAAAAGTAAGAGCTATCTGAATAAAATGGAAACTGACGAGACCTCTCAGTCTTAAGTCTGAGAACAAAGTCGGGGCTAGACATATAAAGGCTCTAGTGTCTTCTTCTACTTAACAGTGTAAATATTATATGCAATTATGGATCTATTATATAAACAAAATCCAGAATCCATTTCTGGAAATGCTAGGTCCAGTTTAATAATGCATCTCGACGTCTACACTATACAAGCCACACTACGCCACATAATGGTCCGTGCGGAAAGACTTTCGTTAATGAAAACCGGACACTAATTTCGGTTTCTACTACATATTTACATTTAATCAGACACCGCTCATGAGCGGTAGACGTAGCACCTATTTTTTTAAACTATGTATCGTTTTTGTTCAATCTGTCTTCAGTGACGTTAATTGTCCATAAGCGGATTTGTTGCCATAAGCGATGATTTAACATGCCTGTTTGGAAACAAATATAAATTAAGAATACCGCTGCTGGACACCTAAAACATGATAGCCTGTCTACCACATATATTTAGACTATATCAAACTTACTCCACCTTCAAGACCTCACTATTAAGATGCCGCTAGACGGTCGCCTACCTGAAACATGGAAAGCGAGGGTGATCGAGCGAATTCATTCCAGCACTAGGGAACAGAGGCAAACCTGGATTCGATTGACAAATTTTTATCTATTGAACCTTAATAGTGATCAGGCGTACATTAATCTTTTCACTGATAGCGGCACCGGCTCCATGAGCCATTGGCAATTGGTGGCTTTAATGCGATAAGAGGTGCCTTTGCCCATATCCTAAATAGGTAGTGGCTCGGTAAAGGATATTACGTGCCCGTAGGGAGCGGAAGGCTTAAGATCCACTTCCAACTTAAGCCTACATTAAGCAAAATATTTAAGATTAGTGAACAACAAATTCCTAAGACCTGCCTGAATTCTTGTTATTAAATCTTTTATTTTATTATTAAGGATTCCTATCTATTAAATAGTTTAGGTTGCATATGCAGAATTTCCCTTAAAGTTCTACGGTGTGGTTTGCGCTCATTATATCGGCCCTGTTGACCGTATGTTGCTTCGAGGTCCGCCATACTCCTAATTGTATCAGGATGCTTCTCCCCGAGCACCTGCCGTCGAAGATCTAATGTCTGCTTATAGATCCCTTCGGCCTCATTATATCGGCCTTGTGAATAGTATGTTGTCGCGAGGTCCGCCATACTCCTGATTGTATTAGGATGATTCTCCCCGAGTACCTGCCGTCGGAGATCTAATGTCTGCTTATAGATCCCTTCGGCCTCATTATATCGGCCTTGTGAATAGTATGTTGTCGCGAGGGACGCCATGCTCCTAATCGTATCGGGATGATTCTCCCCGAGCACCTGCCGTCGGAGATTCCATGCCCTCCGGTTAACTGGCTCCCTCTCTGTCCACCGTCCTCGATCATACAGAAAATCCGATACCTTACTGAGTAATATTGATGTTTCAGCTTCCTTGCCGCTCGTCTCTGCCCAATCTCCTACCCGTATAGCATGAACCATATACTGCTCGCATCGTGCCCATGTATCTTTCTCTGATTCCGGAAACATATCATCCACCATCTGCAGACATATACTTGAGTAGTATGCCTCTCCATTCTCCGGTCTGTTCCGCCCAGTTGCAAAATTACCTAAGGCTATCTCCATCGGCCTTTGAACCCACAGCCCGTATCGAACAGCCTCCTGCACAAGCTTATGCATCTCATAGCTCCGCCGACCTTCTTCCTCCCGACGCGTATTGAGAAAAGAATACTCAACTAGTCGTGTAATGGCCTGCTGCACCTCAAGCTCTGTAGCCTGTCTAGCTATATCCTCATCGCCAATACTGCACTGGCTGGCCGCCACCATCAACTCATGTGGTATATCTTGACTGTCTAGGTATGCAATCACGTGGAGAATCTGGTATGATAGCTCGCTTTCCTCTCGAATTCGCTCTGTCGAGATCTTCCACATGTGAAGCACAATATTCGACACCTCTGGCCGTCGATGTCGGTCAAAATCGTTTATCTTGAGCAGATCCCATCGGCTCGTGCCTTGCATGAGGAGATCTAGGTATTCCTTGATGGTCATCGATGTCCGCCGTATATACGCCCCAGCTTGCGAGACCGCTAATGGAAGCCGCTGTAGCTCTTCTAAAAGACGATTTTTTCCTATTTCCTCTACAGCTGACTTCTTGCCCCTGGCTGTTGCAAGAAGAGTTGTCGCCTCATCCCTTGTCATGGATGGAACTTCGATACCTCGACGCAAGCCGACGAGCGTACCTGTAATATGCGCATCACGGCTTGTCCACAATATTGTCCCTTGTGGTCCTCGAGGGATATACATAGATAGACTCTCGTTCGTCCCTTTTGTGCGTCCCACTCTAAATAAAGCTAAATTATCGGCATTATCGATAATGAATACCCATCGCGACTGTGCCTCAATACTGTTGCGCACCGAATCAAGCAGATCTGACCCATCAAGCCTCTTGTCGACCCCGAGCTTTTTACCGATCGTCTTATAGTCAGTTGTAAAAGTCGCTTCGCTGTCTGCATGCACCCAGAAGATACAGCACTCGCTATCATTGCACCGTCGATATGCGTAATCGAGCGCGATCTGCGTTTTGCTGCGTTTGTCAACACCTCTGTGATCGCTCATAAGACATAGACTGACCCTGAGCCTCCTAGGCCCCAAAGCGCAGCGCTATAGAACCCCGGCGTGAGCGGTAGGAGCCTGTCAAGTTTATCGATGAGATCCTGACGATAGACTAGGTCTTCGTTGCGGGGATAAGGAATGACGCGAACAGCCTCGGCACGGCCCGGCGGGCGGGGCACGTGGACGTGGAGGTCGCCCTGGTTCATAAAGGTATTGTCGCCGAACTGGCTATGGCTGAGCTTGCGCCGCTCGTGTCCTGAAGATGCCATCGTGAAAAGGACTCAGCGTGAGTTGAAGAATTGAACCATGTGGTCGGCTGAGGGTGTGACCTAAGGGATACGTGAGATGCCACCAATACGACGACACAGCCCACATCAGCCCTTCACGTGATAACATGCCGTGATACGAAACCTCACCCTAGCTCGCTTCAGACCCTCTTTGTTCTCACAGCTATAGCCTGCACGATGGCTTCCCTACAACCGCCTGCCGACCGCAAATACCTCCTTTTTGACATTATTTGCGCTTTACCTCGCGAAGTTAATGCTGTCACCCCGCTGTTCGACGAATTCTAGGACGAGGAGCATGAATTTCACGGCCGAGGAGATGGCGGCTAAAATACCTATATCACCGTGGGACGGATGTACCGCAGTCCTGCTCGCACTGTCATACGGGGCGCAGTCTCTTTGAGTAGCTCGTATACTTCTAGTTACTCGGGTACATGTGCTAATCAAACCGCAATCATAAAATGAAAACAAAAGTTATCCACATGCTGCCATGTCCAACCTCAATTATTCTTATGGAGTTTCCTCCTCAGCAATCAAGTAATTATTGATTTGCTCAAGAATTCTTTATACACTTGCAGCCTTTATGAGTTTATAGTTCTTCTTTTTCCTGGCAAGAGACTTAATAATAACATAAAGAACTAAGCCTATACCTCTTTAATTTTAAGAAATGTTTATATATTTGAAGTGGGGAGACATAATAAGAATTGAGACTGCATATTAGACTCATCTTGTGTTCTGTAAGGGGTAAGATCTAGAGGATATGTCTCATGCAAATCCCTCTACATTCTGTTTTAGCCTCCCTGGTTTAGGTGCTAAATGCGTGACTAGAGAGCAACTCATATGCAGAGCGGTAAAGAAAAAAACTCTAAATACTAATCCTATGTATTTGAAAGTAGGGATAATTAAAGCCCCCTGTGCCTCTACTGCTGACTTTCGTAACTTCTTTTAACATCACACCCTCAGCATAAGCTTTCTGAATTGCTTTCCAGATTGCCATTAGCTACTTCACTTCCATTTTTTTTTTAAAAAAATTGAAGGCATTTGCTCTTGCTCTTATCGCTTTTGCTGCTTCTACCGCCCTTGCCAGGAGTTGCACACCAGGAAGCCTTTATTGTGGACATGTTCTCCTCGATTATAGTGAGTCTCCACGCACAAATTGAATGGAGATTCTTAGCGACAAACATCCTGATACAATTGAGAGTATGGCAGGACTTGCAGCGATATATCATGCTCTCGGCAGGTATGAAGAGGATGAGAGGATATCAGTGGAAGTGCTTGCACTACGGCGGGACATTCTTGGCGATAAGCATCCTGATACAATCAGGAGTATGGCAGCTCTTGCAGCGATATCATGCACTGGGGGGGGAGAAGATGCAGAGAAGTTAGCTTAGGGTTAAAGTTAAGTTAAGAGCTGTCAGGATCTCAATGCTCTGAAATTGTACAAAAAGCTGGTTGTTCGTAATCAGGATTTAAAAGTTCATATTTAGGATCCGGTCACGTGCCATCACATGCAAGCTATTATTACGACATACGGATCTGAGTTCCACCGTAATGCGAAATTGAGGCCTTATGATGTAGGCAGGAATGCATGAGTCATGGCTGCTGGGTCCCATCGTTGTTTCCCTGCCATAACCGCTTTGTCACCGGTACAGTACCTTATCAGCAGAATTGCAGTATAGCAGAAGTGGCGACAAAGTCCTACCTTGACCCTACTAGATTTAAAACCCGATGCTATATATTACGAAACGCCCCTTCAACTCTCTAATACAAAGTTATTATTATATATAGAATATAGGGTTACCGGGTGAGTATTCTACGCACCCCTTAAGGCTTTGTCTTTGGACGAGCCGTAGTCAATCGACCGGTCGAGCCTAGTAGAACCGAATTCGTTCGATTATTCCATTATATAACCTCTTGGCATATGTGGCCTTCCTCAGTGGCTATGTGTTGGGTTGCGATACAGAATGTAAGCCTAACATTATCCAGAAATGGATTTCAGTAGTGGCGACAATCTAGCCTTGTTTCTAAGGCATAAGCGCGCTAGCCTCTAGCCTTGTGGCTGTCAGCATGACTCAAGCTAGAACAAGGCTGGATCACGCCTTCCCGCAGCCTCAAAGCCAGAACCGGTTCGACACTGAATGCACCATGGCTCCAACGCTTAGTGCTTTCCAACATGACTTGATTGATGCTATGATCAAACAAAACTTGCCTAACGAGATTATAGCCAAGGAAGCCGAGTGCCACGAACGCACAATTACATGGCCATATCTAGAGTATAGAATAAAGAGCGACGCCGCCCGTTCACCACAGCGACAGAAGATGCTCGAAGCCAGGCCTGTTAGACTACGTCTTTTTCTAGTGTATCAACGGACTGTTTTACTGGATATGGTTTAGCATAGGGCTTTGCACTACCGAGATGCATGAGATCGTTGCATCGGGAGAGAATACTTAGAAGAGTCAATTTCAAGATGCTCATCTTGAAATAAGCTTTCTTTAATAGATGCTCTAGTTACTCGCGGTTTGTCACCTGACGCGAGCCACAGAATGAAGCTCCCGTTATAGTCGCCGTCCCATCGTGGCTAAAAATCCTACCGAGATTCGTTTTCTACAGAGCCTCTATTCGCATTTGTAATGGGTTGGTAATTGTTGTGATTGAGGCATTTCCAGATTTTCTATGAAAATTTTGAGTGGCATTTAATATTTAGAATATACCCGTTTATCATCTGGGTCGATTAAACACCCTCCAAAGCGAAGTTCTCTGCAGCGATTTCGACGTTGAGCACATCACAACGGAACAATCGGAAACACCATATCCACATCTTCCACTTAGCATGTCAATTTGCACACTCTTCCAAAATGCCCTTCAAGTCCCTTTCCAATGGTAGAGGGGAGGGATATAGTTATAAAACCCTTTCAGGTAGTATACAGCTTCTCGGATTTGCCAGGCTTGTGGATGATACTGTAGATGAAGCTATGGGCTTCTTGCTCGATCGCTTCGCCACTATATTCTCTTCTGGAGCTCCCGTCACAGATTCAGAAGCTAGTACCCCTGCAATTGGTTTTTTACAGCTCCAGTGCGAGAACTAATAAGCGATGCCGGCGCTGGAGGAAAGCAAATCTCTCTGACAGGTGGACAGACGATTAACACTATGAGAAAAAGAATTAAGGTAGGAGGAAGCAGATCAACAAGCCAGGCGATTGAATAGGTGCCCAAAAAAAATAAAACGTTCTGTTGTCTCGCCATGATCGCAGGAGAGCTATATGCTTATAGAGCGCGACTAAGCTTCTAACGACAGTCATATAGAATCGCTCAGCATGTGCTTGCACCTTCTTTGCTGTAATGTCTTCACCAGCAGCGATATTCATATCAATAATTGACAGCGGCTGCTTATCAATTCTCTTAACATGGAAGATTTGCTTCTTAAAACGCCTTATCAAAGTCCAAAGGTCTCCGTTTGGAATACCGGCGTATGATTGTATGGAAGTAGCGGTTTCGCTATTCCAACCAGAAATTGCGGCTTGGAGAGTACTGTGTTCAATATAGCGGTCTCCATCTTTGAGCTGAGGGTCTATATTGGCAACACTCTCTTGAGCAAGAGTGTGACTATCTGTAGGCGCCTTATCCATAACTAATTGTTTGTTCTTGTCAGTGATGCTAGAGTCCATGGTTTGTAATGACCTGAAAGTTTTATTCTTTTCAAAAAATATTATGACCCATTCGAGCCTTAACTTAGTAGGGTCACCGTTCTGACAGTTATATAAACACACAGGATCAATTTAACTATTTATAGTTGATAAAAGATCAATGACGCTGGCGGTGGCGACTGTAGTAAAGTTCATTGAATAGGACCCTACTAAGTTGGTAGCACGCTAATTGCCAAGCTTTAAGAGGCTGGTTTTCTCAAATAAGATGGTGCCATAAGTATTAAGTACTATGCTAATTTTTTCTTACTTGATTAGTGCGACGGCTAAATCCCTTGCTAAAGATGTGAGGAAGATGGTGAAGTGTGTGAGCATAACTATAGTTAACGAGATTTAAAAGACGCATCACGAGCTGAAACCGAATATTAAGAACAGAAAACTCAAGCGATTTCCCAAGTTTCTTATCTTTTGTTTGTAAGTCAGACTAGCTTGATTTGCAAATGAAAGTTGGGCAGCAATGTATACCCAAACTTCGGCACTGTACGGCCCGCTTTGGAGATTTTGTAAAGTCAGTCAAGCACTCATCTGATCACTTGTTGTAGAATCTTTGGTGAAGTATCAGCCTAGGATTTGACTGAATGGAATTAACCTATATTCGCACACCCAAGGCCGCCTCTTGCGTTGTCGCATTCTTGCGCTGGGCTTCTAGCAAGTCGAGGGTAAAGGCTTAACGCAATGTGGCTCCGAGGCGTCGCTGCTGGTGGAAGAAGATAAAACGGTTTTCAGTTCAGACATACGGCGACATCTTGGTCTATACTTATGAGTATAGAGTTGGTTCCAAGGTAATAAACCAGTTGTTGGGTTTATGTTACAGAAATAGAGGAAGCAGTCTTAAATTTTATTCACAAGTGAGTAATACATAGAATAGAAGGGTAAGCTTATATTCGGTCGTGGGATTTTGTTATCGACTGGCTATCTCAACTATCTGAATGACCGTATTACTCAAAATATATGCCCAGTCGTTTCGTTTCTATATTATCCAAATATTCTAACGAGTGTAGCGAAGTGTATAAGTAATGTGATGTTCACTTTGTGAAACTGAATATCCTTCTGGAACGGGCAATCGTTCACTTATATTCACTTTTGAGAAGTGAACACAATTCTGTGCGACTATCAAGGTGTAGACTCGTAACAACGGGCCCCAGAAAAGTAGTTATTTATGTTCCGCAGTATCAATGTTGTCCTATATATAAATATATAGAATTTAGTGGGTCATGTTATTAAGTATCCACAGTAAGGAGTTTCAGAGAATGAGAGCGTCTGAACTGTTGGTTTCAGTATCTGGCTCCTCGTGAGCGATCGAATGACTCTTTTTATAGATTGGGTGGCAAAATTGTGCCAGTATTGCCGCAAGTTCAGATCCGATGGTGCGATATCTACACTAGGCAACAGTTTAGTTGAGAGATCTATCAGTATCCTTGATAGACTTGTTCAAGAAGCAGGGGAGGACCCAAACTGGCCAATTTGAAAAGAATGCCTTATAATGCGGGCTAGATTAGTGGCTGATGTCGCCAGTGGATATTCTTGGATTTTCTGTTGCCATTTGGTTGAACCGTCCTATAATTTGAGCCTTCTTCTCCCTTTTGTCCTCGCCTTCTTGATCAGTTGCACTACTACTTCACACTAGCATTGTAGTGGCAGAGGCTGGTATTGCTCCAATCAAGCTAGTTCCCATCCCTGAATACAAAGCACACCAACCATCATCCTGCAGAATTTATTTAAGTGTGTTGACCGTACCTCGGTACACTATAGTAGACATCTGTGGCCTCCCTCCAGTATTATTTATTCCCTTCCATTGACCACTTGCATCCATGGATGAGCCTCTGTATGATGGTGGCCTTGCTAACTGTTGTGTTTGCAATCTTGTTCGAATAACTTTGTGTGGATATGTGGCTGCAGTCGCACACGCTTTGCTCGCGGAGCTGGCTGCTAGAATTCCCGAGACTTGAAACAGTCCCTGGTCCTCGCGCCAATTCCCAAGCCCTGTTCCTGTCAAATATGTCATAGGTCTCAAATTGTTTATACAGTGGAAAGTGTATAGTTATGTTTGTTACAACAAGCAAAGCCGGAGTTAAGTCCTGAATAAAACGAAGTAACGCCTTCTTGGTGATACATCTTCCGAGCGACGTCTATGATGAACCTTTACTCTCCAGTAGTGTTCTCGGTAGAGGTGCTTGATTGAGACATTAATCTGGTTTTGATAACCCATAATGGATATGTGATTAATGTAGAACAGGCACCTCCAGTAACTGCTGATATACATGAGGATGTCGATATATGTTGTACTACGCGTGACTATTAGGATGGAGTGCGTGGCAAGGGTGACTCACTAATTTTTCTCAAAGAATCATTGATCTTATGATATATTGGGTCCATAGTTGGAAACCATGTCTACATTGTGATTTGGTTTTTATAACGTCCAGAGGACTTGTTACACTAGAGACTACCCCCGCTAGTAGCTCCGGCCAAACTTCGAATTGACGTATTCGATAAACAGAGTGTTAGGCCTTCCAATGGGTAAGTCAATAAAGATATTAAATGATTTTTTATTAACTTAAATATGCTGCTCCTTTATTTGGCTGCCGACATCATTGTCGTCATGGAACAATAATCGCAACACACAGGGCATTCTCAAGTTGGTGCTCATAACAGCAGCACCTACGTCTACGAACCGAGAATACCAGTAAGGTGGCGAAAAAAAGCGATCCCATCCACTAATATAGAAACTCAAGACCTCAACGCATGACTTGCTCTCCGTTCATACAGTAGATATCATCTTTACAAAGAGCCATGAGAAGGTCACGGCCTGCGCCCCAGGAAGTGGCATTGCGCCAACGCCATCCCTTAGGGACAGGCTTATTCACAGAAGCTATCAACGCAGCCAAGGTCGCCGAAAGCAAAGCAGAGAAAGCACTCCTCCTATGGGGCGACCTCCCCGCCTGGCGCCGCGACAACGCTTTCATTCACTCTGGCTATTGTCAAATCCGTCCGTCCTACTTGCACTCGCTTCGGTCCCTCTTCAATCTGCATAATGAATCCGTCAACGTCTGGTCGCACCTCCTCGGTGCTATAGCAGCTGTCGCTAGCTCATTCTACTTGTACTACGTCATCCGCCCGCGATACGATTTTACTACGCCATCTGACGTGCTCGTCTTCGCATTCTTTATTGGTGGCGCAGTGTTGTGCCTTGGCATGAGCGCGACGTTCCACGCTGTGCTCAATCACAGCCAGAAGGTGGCGCGGTGGGGAAATAAGCTAGATTATACGGGAATTGTCGTGTTGATTGTGGGAAGCTTCGTGCCGGCATTGTATTATGGCTTTTTTTGCATGCCTATGCTGCTCGCGGCGTATTTATGCCTGGTGAGTCTAGCTTTGAGAGGACGCGACATAACGGTGACGGCCGCTGACAAAGACCCAGATATGTCTGCTTGGCACCGGATGCGCTATTGTCTCGTGGGTAGAGCAGTTTCGCACCCCAAAATGGCGGCCATACCGAGCCATGATGTTTACCGGCCTCGGCTTATCCGGCTTCATCCCTGTTATTCACGGCGTCACCATCTATGGCTACAAGGGGTTCGAAGACAGAATCAGCGTTACGTGGATCATCGTTCACGGTGCCATGTATATCTTCGGCGCAGCTCTCTACGTGGTCGGCCATTCCATTTGTCTCCCACAGCGGTGGTGGATAACTGACTGACTGGGAATATAGGCTCGATGGCCGGAGAGGAGTTTTCCAGGAGCATTCGATATCTGGGGCAGCTCCCATCAGATCTTCCACATGTTTGTCCTGCTCGCTGCGGCAACGCATTTTTATGGCATGGTGAAGGCGTTTGACTACCATCACACGGTCTTGGGATCCCAGTGCTTGACCGAATAAATTGAGACGTTTTCGGTCGCTACCGTCATTCTAATTCCGTTACCTGGGTCATTTTAAACCCCAAGACCCACGATGCGCGCAAGACCGTATCTCATCGCTACTGCTGCCCTGGACCTGATAATTCGGATTCCACCCCTAACCGTGATCCTCCTCAGCAGTTCCTGTGCAACGCCAGGAGAAGATCCACAGGCCCGGTAACGCCATCGTCAGTCATTCACATCGCCTGTACCGGACTGATTCTATGGCTTGCGTCGTCTGCTACCCTTGTCAAGACAGCATCACTGCACTGTCACCCTACTCTTCTTGATGCTAATGCCTCTGCGCGCCGCTATCTGAGGCTCAAACAACCTCTAGGAACATTGATATTCTAGACTAGGAGCAATTAGAAGCGAACTATGACACTGGGCGAACACATGAAATGGGTCAGGTCTGCACACGATCCCCGACGGGAGGCAGCGACAACTCCGTTGTTACGCCACGGAAGAACTTCCCGCGATATTGGAGAGTGTGATCCAGGAGAGGAAGATTCTAAATTTATATTGCGACTAAAGTAGTGAATATGCAGAAACAACTGGATTGAACATACCCGAATTGGAAGGGGTTAATGTTATCGACGACATCACATGGACTATGATTAGAAGTCATGTATTAAATAATCCAGTTACAGGAATCTAGATTTCCCCACAACTAAGTGGGGAAACCATGGCTCCTCGCGAGCCGTTCCTTGTTCTCTGGCGCGGTAATGGCATCCGTTGAGCACAAGGTGTTGGTGTCAAGCTCTTGGCCGGGGCCGGGGGGGGGAAGGGAACCGGCAAGTGGACCTCAGATTGCTGGATGGAGCCCTTCTCCAAGATCTAGCTCGGTGGTGCCCTCATTTACATAAGTGCCAAATTCGCTGATCAGTACCACCTTAGACGCCCCCGGCACCTTGCGTGCTTCATTCATCGTTACTATACTAGGGGGCAAACACAAACGATCCACACTCTAAGATGTAACCTATGGTTTAATTAGGAGTACAAAATAGTTCCACCTTTGATCTTTCTTAATAGGCCTAGGATACGAGTTCTGTGGTTTGTAGAAGGCAGTTGAAAGAGGAAGGGGTAAAATGTATGGCAGAAATTTTATTTGGCGTGCCTTGGTTTGGTAGAGGAATGTCTCATGTCAATCAAAACCACAAATAAATAGAGGGAGTCCAGAGCCCTGGAGCTTAAGGTGGAACGGGGTGTCAGGGCCTTTCATCTGCGCTACTGTACGAATTCAGGGAGCTAGGCAGATTCACTGTCGATTGGCGGAGCTTGAGTGGTCGATCGTAGTGTCCTCCCTCAATGTAGATGTTAGAATATAAGCTAGGCCACAGCTAGAAACTAGTATTTTCACATGCGACGCCTTTCTTCTCGCTCCTCGGATGTACGATAGCGTCAGCCACGAACGAGGACCCAGAGCGCTGTGATTCCTGGCTCAAAGGCAACTTAAAGTTGCTGCTGACAAAGCTGCGCTGCAGGGGGGCAAGAAGATGTGAAGCGTCGATGGTGATATCGACAAAGGCGTAGAGAACATTGAACTTCGTCACGTGGACGGGGATGAAACGGCTGTGAGCATAATGGACAAGCAGATCGCAGTCGAGTGCTTGCACCGTGTAATCGTCAATACAGCATGCGCCGTAGGTAACGTCTCCCATAAGCGTCTCGATACCCGGGCAGAGCTGGGTGAGAACGTCGGAGAAGGTGATAGCAAAGAGGAGTTGTCTTTCTGGTAACCACAGTTCATCTTTCTGGGCACCTGAGAAACGGGTGCCATGGATCGTCTTGGGCATCTCAAACTTATAGTTGGCCGGCAGCAGGGTGATAGCGCCCTTGAGGTTGGGATCTTCGAGGCTCTCGTTGGGAACTTGGTTCAAGAATCTGGTTGCCCTTCGAGGTTTACTGGCAACAATAATAAGATATGTGAGCTATATGATCGTCACTCATACTTTGATTTTACAAATTCGAGAAAGAAACTGGTTGTCATCAATCGGTAAGCAAGCTCTGAATAGCACCACTCTCACCCGGCGTCCCTGATACTTCAATCTTCACCGCAGCCTCAGCCGCGGCTCGTCGACCTACGGATATCTTCTTCGGTTGCTTCAATGGCGCTCCTCTATTCTGTGTGTCGTTGGTATCGTGTAAGTTTCGGCGGCGGAGGACGAAGTCGACTGAGCGAGCTGGGCCTCTTTAATATCGGCCGCCGTGCCAACGTCGGTCTGTCACCAGTCCTTCTCCATTCCGCTTTGTATAAAGATACAGAAGAGTAAGAACAGAAAATCAAGTGATTTTCCCAGGTTTCTTGAATTTTATTTTTATATCAGTCTCGCTTAACTTGCAGAATGACAGGTTGGGCAGTAATGTAAACCCGAATTTATAACAATGTACGGCTCGCTTTGGAGATTTGTCAAGTCAGTCAAGCACTCATCATGATCACTTGTTATAGAGAGTTTAGTGAAATATCGGCCTAGGATTTGACTGAATGGAATTAACTCAGCTACCTATGTTCAAAGATGACCTTCTCTTGCGCGCTTCAATTTCTTTCAAGACGAGTCCTCCAGCATATAAACGATCCATTGAGAACAAGTTGCACTCTCTACGAGTCCTACCACTGCCTTGCGCGCCCATTATACTGTTCCCTATCAAAAATCCACAAAATTGGCTCCTCAGCTGTCAATTAATTTTCCTTGTTCTGCTGCTGACTACGGGGCACGGTCTCCGCCCGAGCCCTGACCTTGGTCTTCGTATCTTTGGCGGCTCGCTGGTAGAACTCGTTGAGGATTGTGGCGGGAATACGGTTGAGCAACTCCTTGGGGTAGATTCGGAGGAGGGTCCATGCGAGATCAAGAGACTCATAAATGGTTCGCGATTCGTACTGGCCCTGGCTAATGAACTGGCGCTCAAACTTCTCCAAAAACAACAGAGATAGCTTATCCTCAGCCGACAGAGCCTCCTCACCGACGACAGCCTTCATGGCCGCAGCATCACGACCGATAGCATATTTAGCGTATAGCTGGTTTGACACATCACCGTGGTCCTTGCGGGTCATACCTTCACCAATAGCAGACTTCATCAGACGGGACAGCGAAGGCAGCACGTTAATGGGAGGGTAGACCCCGCGGTTGTCCAGAGCTCGGTCAACAAACACCTGACCCTCAGTAATGTACCCAGTCAAATCAGGAATTGGGTGAGTGATATCATCATTGGGCATGGTTAGAATGGGGATCTGGGTGATGGATCCGTTGCGGCCTTTAACACGCCCAGCTCGTTCGTAGATACTAGACAAGTCAGTATACATATAACCGGGGAAACCGCGTCGGCCGGGCACTTCTTCTCGAGCGGCTGACACTTCTCGAAGGGCATCACAATAGGCAGAGAGGTCTGTGAGAATAACCAAGACGTGCTTCTCAAGTTGGTAGGCGTAGTATTCGGCAGTGGTGAGGGCGAGACGGGGAGTAATGATACGCTCGATACTAGGCGGAGTCAGTTCCGATTGCATGATATCATGAACGACTGCGCTTACGTAGGGTCGTTGGCGAGGTTTAGGAAGAGAGTAACACGCTCCAAGCTGCCGTTCTCCTCGAAGTCGCGAGTGAAAAAACGCGCAGTCTCGTAGTTCACACCCATGGCGCCAAAGACGATGGAAAAGTTCTCCTCATGGCCGTCGTGAACGATCTTGTTGGTAACACCCTGCTTCTGGACTAGACTAGCCTGACGGCAAATCTGAGCGGCGATTTCATTGTGAGGCAGACCAGAGGCGGAGAAGATTGGGATCTTTTGTCCTCTGGCAATCGAGTTCATGGTGTCGATGGCGGAGATACCGGTCGAGATCATCTCTTCGGGGTATTCCTAAGGTTATTAGCCAAAGAGTGAATACCGGAGCGCCCGCAGGAAGCCTTACACGAGAGTAGGGATTGATGGGACTCCCGTTGATGTCGAGGTAGTCCTCGGCCAGCACCTTGGGACCCTTGTCGATAGCTCGTCCAGATCCATTAAAGATACGACCCAGCATGTCCTCACACACACCGAGCTTTAAGCTCTGGCCGGTGAACTCGACCTTAGTCTATTACGTCTCAGCCCAACTTTCTTATTATGGCTCTCATTGCTGCCTACCTTCTTGACATCGATACCGGAAGTGCCTTCGAAGACCTATTAGACTTATCAATCGCCTTGTTGAAATATATCGCGTTTCGAGGAAGTACCTGAACGACCGCTCGATCACCTGTCCATCATTGTGAGCATGTTCGGCGTCATTACCTTTGGGAGTTGATTAATAGCCGCACGAACCTCGAGCTTCCAGGACCTGCCCCGATCGCCGAGTGCCATCAGGAAGAGTGAGCGTCACCATCTCGTTGTATCGCGGGTATTTGACCTATTTTGGTAAGCTGATAGGAAAGAAGCTGACGGGATCCTCGCATTACGACGTACGTTCTCGAGTATGACGAGGGGACCGTTGACGCCACCGACTGTGTTGTAGCGAATCCTCGGGTTGACCGAGTACGACGACGATTCGCGTGCATCTCCCATAATGAGCGATAGATCCAGCAACGGATGGGAGAGCAGGATGATAGGTGGATAAGGGAGGAAAAGCCGATGCAGAAGCTCGAAGAGGAAGTTCAGAAACGGGGAGGACGCCTCAAGCTGTGAGGAGGTTGGAGGAAGTTGAACTAGCTTCATCAAAGTGGAACATCCTGCGCCAGCTCAAAGACGCATGCCAATCAACTCACTGGGAAGCTGTTACTAAGTTCTCTTTCTCTACGGTTGCCGAAGAAAGCCGCTTGTGGTTGCAGCTATCTACCCTTCCCATTTGGGCAGAAAATTGTAGAGGTCAGCTGGGCCGAAATACCATTTTGGTCTTGGGATGAACGTTGAGGTTAACGGCAAATTGAAAGGGCAGCAGCTTCCCTTGTCAGTTATATAAAACTCGACGGTGCCTGGCGGGACCGGGTGAGGGCGATTTCAATCAAATATTTTTAATGGAATTTGAAGGTGAAAACGACGGAAAAGGGGTCAGCGGGCTCGGGGGAAGAGGGAGGGCGCGAGGATAGATCCCTTCGATTCCGGTAAGCCTCCGATCATGAAACCGGCACGCACCTCAGCAAGCACATTTCGCTGCAGTGGCTAGGTTATTTTCCAACAAACCTTCAACATGCCGTTTGGGTTGAATCCAAAAATGACGTTATCATCTACCTGTCAAGAACGAGAAGTTAAGAACGAGGCTTTGTGTGGCTTTTTCAAGAGAAACTTTGTTCTTTAGCAAGAGTCTTTGCTCTCGTCACATTATTAGGAAAGGCCATCTGGAGGGTTGCGGGAGCTGAATGTAATCCAGGTCTTCGGTGCACAGTTTTCATTCACGCCCCAATAAACCCACACAGTAGTCGCCAGGAAGGGCAGTTCTAGACTGCGGTTTCGCACGGTGGTAGCGATCCGTTGTCTCTCTAGGCCCGTCAACATTTCCTGCGGATTATCCCTGCTTTCGAGTCTTCGTTGTCGCATTGTTGCGCTGTAGCAGGTCGAGGGCGGGAGGCATGACGCAATGCGGCTCCAGAGGCGTCTCTGCTGGTGGAAGGTTATAAAACTAGCGCTGATTGGCCATATCCAAGCGGAATGCTCCGAGGAAGTTGATGGGGATTGGCGTTTGATGTTTTGGTAGGAAATGGCGTTCTTCGTCCGTCCCTCTCAACCGCTTCCCCCCCAGCCACCGTGTCATAGATACGTCTGCGACACGTTGTCATGATACTGTGTAGTTTGTGATGAGATATTGTGAAAAATATCGTTTACACAAAATATCGTTTATACAGGGTCCTTAGAATGATGGTCTTCATCGTTCTCGCAGGGCGTTAATATTCAACAAATGGGCACTCGAACTGTGGCAATGAGTCGCGCGATTCTTTCTAAGAAGATTATGCCACTTAGCATTTGCATCGAAATTCGAGGTCAGCATATCCCCTGGCCTTGTGTCTTGTTTAGAAACTCTACTTCCGACTGTCGCGATTGTTAAGAGTTGGAGTGGTGGATGGGACCCCCGGATGGGTGACCTGATCTGGTACCCGGCATTGGGACTCTTGTGAATGAACTGCTATGTGAATAGGATGTCCGTGTTCAGCTATTGGAAGTCAGACTACATGCCCTGTTCCCAATATCCACAGCTGACAAGGAGGGAGTTGGGAGGGGGGCAAGTGAAACCTAGCGAGGAGATTGCATCCTACGCAAACCCGGCATCTATGAACCTAGCTTATCGCCAATTAGCCGTAATAGCTGTTGCTGATTTCCTTCATTTAACTCATTATCTCTCTCGTCCCGCCTTCGCCAGTGTAGGACTGCGAGAATCGAAATCACCAAGTGCGAAAGATTTCTAGTCGCTGCCGCTACTAGACTAACTACAGACAACTATTCGTCCGCAGCGAATCTGCTAATAATATCCACCAACCTCTTTCTCGTCCTCCTCCGGCTAAAGACCTCTCCGTGATCTAAATCTCGAAACCACAGCACATCCAGCCCGTCACCTTTCCATATTCCATTTTCCCAGCTTTCAGTCTCCAGAGCCCAGTCATCTGTGCCCGTCAGATACGCTGCAACTGCGTTCGTGTCCACGATTGCGTCTCTGCCGGCTAGCACAACGGCCACGCGATGGTGCTGGATGTCTTCCTTCCACAAGACATTATCAGACCATATGAAACGTCGGCATAACGTATGCGCGACGCCCATGTCTTTAGCGCCGAAGTAAGAGAGCAGGTGTTCACTGGCGTTGGTGGGCTTCCGACAGATCTGAAGTGTCGAGGTTAGCGGAGGCCTTTAGTAGTAATGCAAGGAGAATGTTACAAAATTATATGCTACATCGGGGAGATGTAGCAGGAATGACACAGGATCAACAAACAAAGTCGGCCCGATCTTGCTTGCGATCTGTGGCTTGCGGAGGAGATGCGTAGCAACTACGCTTCCGTAGCTTTATAGATTTGAAGTTAATATACGGCAATGAGCAAGACACAAATCCAGCGAAAACAAGACGGCGACTCACGAGTGTGACACTAGTATAAATCTTTCCCACCCATGTGCCGTTAAAATGCAATGAACCTCCTCGCACATCTCATCCTTCAACATTGCCTCAGCTGTTATCCGAGAGCTTATTGGCATAATTTCTATAGCGATGATCCCCACCTGCCCATCCGACGAGTCCTTGCTATCTTCGACATTAAGGTCGGCCAAAAATGGTACATACATGTAGAGGCCAACGCCGATACCGTGTATGAATAAAACGGGGAGCCTGGTCCTGGAAGTATGCGGCCGGTACCAGTAAGTGAGAGTTCTCGCAGGGGAACGATAGCTATTGAAGAGATTGAGGAGGCGCGTGGGGAAAACGGCGAGAAACTGTAACAATGACGTGCGGTGGAAGTCGAAGGAGTAGAAGCGCAAATAGATAGATGCTAACGCATCGACAACAAATACGCACTATAGAATCAAGTTAGTACACCTCCCTAACTTCTACCGTGGGCAAGAAATTCATTTCGTAGCCCACCATGAAGACTTACCAGATACCATATCAAACTCCTATGTAGCATCTCGACCTTATCAAGCGTTAATCTAAGGCACTGCGCAACACCGCGGCCAGGTTCTAGCTTCCTCCCCAACAACTTCTCCATCTCTCCAATATACTCCTCCAGCTCCTCGTCATATGCCGGATCAGGCTCGCCAGAGTTTAGGAACGCCCACCGGAAGAAGTCCTTAACGTTCTCCCGTCTAATCTCTGCCACAGGCGCATCCCGGAACCATTTCGCTAGATACCGTTCCGGATCCGGGATATTGCTGTGGCAGCGCCAGAACAACCTCCGGCGATCGTCACGGCCGGCGGTGGGATGTGTCACGACTGTCTGGAGGTAAGTTTTGCGCGGGAGATAGACGAGAAGGTAGAATACTGCCTCGAGATTGAGCCACACCTCTAGCACATGGGGGACATAGAACGGGGGATGGATTAAGCAGCTGACGAGCGAATAGATAACGCCAAGGGGTGCAATGAGATGCAGGAGGAATATGCATGTTCGAATGTAAACGTAGTCCCAGGCGGATATACCTATCATGGTGTGAAGGCAGGTATATTGCCGCCAATAGAGAAGCTTGAGATGGGTGTAGTTTGGTTACTCAGTGAGTGATGGACATCCCCGGAAGGAAAATATGTGCACTGCCCCAATTTCAAAGAGCCATCC